AATTCAAGTGAAATACAGTAACATAAATACAGATTGAAATATACACATAAAGGTAAAAAAGGCGGTCTTATCGCTAGGGCAATCTCTTACAGATAACCTTTGGTTAAAGGAGAACAGATAGATTTTTATTTATTATTATATTATATATTAGATTTCGTTTAATTATTCAATATTTACTGTTGTTATTAAGTATATTAACATTTTTTTTTTTGTTATTTTGTATATTTTGCATTTTTTTTCTGTATTCATCTATGTTTATATACATAAATCTCATTACTACATAGTATAAGTCACATGGTTCAACAAAATAAACATTTCATTTTAATTCCATCCATTTATTTGTATGACCTACTAATATCACAAATGCAAATGTTTGTACAGTTGTATGAATGCTATAAGAATAGTCAATCTTGACAGATTTTTTTTTTTCAATTGATAAATGGGATTATTGGAGAAATTAGTTGGTAATTTTTTGACACTTTAAAAGACTGTTTTTATTCATCGCTCGCATAATTGTTAATTGGTAAAATGTAATGAAAACTGACAAAGGTCTGTGATTGAGTTAAACTGAAAGAATAAAAGTAATCATAAATTTGAAGAAATAATATTTCAAATTTGGACAGAAATCGCAACTGACAAGAAAAGCTATTTGGATATTTTAAGGTACTAAGACATATATATTTGGTGCACAAAGAAACCATATTATAAATTAAGACATAGGCTATTTTTTAATAGAATTTATATCTCGCTAGTAGATAAATAAATAACATTAGGTATTACTCATTTTTAAGAAGTTGGGTAATAATATATTTATATGTTTTTCAGCAACTTCCCATGATCTAAAACAATGACTGCTTATCATGACGTATGATTATCTCATCTGACACTTATTTTTTTTTTACTTTCCACTTAAATACCTATATAAAGTTTGTAAAGTTATTTGGATGTTTAGGGTTTTTTACCCACTAGCTTTTACCCGCAACTCCGTACGCGTAGAATTTGAAAGTTTTACCCCCTTAGAGGTACAATTTATTAAACAAGAATTTGAGAATGTTGTTTTAAGACAGTAAATGACAATCTGTAAGTTAGAATTTCACATACGTAATACATTTAATATAGTAAAAGATCCGTTTAAAACCTACCAAAAAATGGCGGATACAGATACAGATTTTTCTCTCGGATATCTGCGGATTCGACTACGGATATCGGACGCATCACTAATTAAATTATAGGTCAATCAGACAGTCAGTCAGCATCCAACGGATATGAATAAAATTGCATGCATAGATCGCTTGTAAAGTAAACAAATTTCGAGATAATATACAAATATGTTTTTAATGTAATTTAGTTACAAAGAATGTATACTCTAAAAATACTGCATTCCAGTATTCTGACACTTCCCTATGGTTGACTGGAAGAGCATGTTTTTAGCATTAAGCCCGCCATGTACATATATATGTTACATTACCAGAGGTAGACTTTGTACAAAAGTCGATTACTTGGGTACCTCTGTCCCATTCGTGTTTGAACCGTGAAGCAGTTGTGTTTGCACGGCTGTGTTTCGATTTGAAGGGTGAGATATGGCGTGAATTTACTGGGTACAGAGGAATAACACCTGAGTGTTCAGGAATGGCAACGCATGGGGGGTATCATGGGCGAAACAGTATACTATCAGGTGGGCTGTCAGCTTGTTTGCCATTCTAAGTCGTATAAATAAAAGATATAATAAGCCACAAACCAATACAATCACCTAACTTAGGACAAGCCTGTATTTTAGGTAGCAAGTTTATATTACATTTTATATACAAGTAAAACTTTACTAATTTATGAAAAAAAGATAAGATTATATTGCCAAATTTATTTATTTGACATTTTTTAATAATTTACTGTGTAAATTTTGTATAAGTGTAAGCGTATGTTAATTATAATTTTTGACGAATTACGAATGACATGTGGTAAATATAGTACTACTCGTGTATATTTCCTTTATGTTGGTATTGCCTTATTTTGATTTATTTATTTCTTATTGCATTCTATAATATACTTAGTAGATAACATTTCAATTATGGACCCTGTTGGGCACCGCACGTAGGAGAGAGGAGGACAACACTTTTTTCACTTCAGAAATAGTCTAAGGATCTGTTACAATATTATCCAGCCATTGAAATTGTATCACGATAGGTACGTATTTTCTTATTTTTCTTATTATTGTTATAATTTTACGATACTGTTTAGCATCTCGGTATCTTCATAAATTAGAGACATCAGTCATTTATTAAATTTGTTCTTAAGATCCGATTTGCATTATAAATACATTGAAAATTCCTTGTTAACTTTATATCACAGATGTGGTCTTAAATAAATTATATATTTATTACATATTAATAACTATGTAATACTATTAATAATAATATGAAAACAGTTCTTTCTCCCTGTCTGTCTGGATCACTTTTTAGGGTTAAACGACTTAACCTTTTCTGATAAAAATAGGTAAAAAACACTTTTTTTAGATACACACATTTTCGATGGTTGTCTATATATTTATACCTGTATACCTATAAAACATAAATTACAGCGAACGAAGTAACATAGTAACATTATTTATTTACCTAAGTATAAAAAAATTAATTCGGAAAATCAATATAATAGGTAGATAGACAGATACTGTTTTTTTCAGACTCATACTATTTTTTTTTATTTTTCAAGTTATGTGTATATTTCAATCTGTATTTATGTTACTGTATTTCACTTCAATTATTCACTTGTTATTGTATATTTTTATTTATGGTGCAATAAAGAGTTAAATAAATAAATATGTTAATTTTTTTATTCAATATCTATATACTCATACATACAGGAAATTAATGAACTCAAATACTCATGCACTTACGATAATATCTAATTAATTTCAACTCACCTTAATTACAACACATTCACATAATAACACTACACACACTTAATAATTTAAAAAAAAATTGTAGAATAACACTGGGAAACAAACCACAAAAATACAATAAAAAAAATCAATTCAATTTCTGTTATCAACTTTTTCACGTAAACCGCACACGCAATGCAATTTGGCGGGAATGCAACGTCCACCTCTGAGCGATTACCACAGACTAAATTCGTTTCTCACACTCTTCTTCATGGAAAAGTAATCCGTTCAAGATAAAATGCTACGTTGACACAAACACGGCGCTGACAAATGTTTACAATTCAACATGGTTGTGTAACAATGCGTACGATTGTTTAATTTATTACTTGTCTTGTTTGTTTTGTCTCATTGTAATCTTTAAATATTAGTTTACACAGAATGATTAACAAAAATACCGCTACATATGTAATAAAAATGACAACCTCACATTTTTAGAAAAACTTTTACATACACATCGCGTTACGCTATCTATTTGCTTATTTGTCTTTTAATTTTTTCTTAGAAATGTTATTCAAATATGGCAATCAAACTTCAGTAATATCAATTCGCAATTATATAGTAAATTGCCAAGTAATTTAAATAAACAAAAAAAAAACTTTTTACTTTTATTCGTCTTTTTTAAAAGTAGAGGCAAAGAAAACAGAGGCCATACTGCGTAATCTGACGTCTAATTTCCTTTTTACTAGCCATTAAACCACAAACATTATATTTTGTCTTTGAAGAAAAATTTTCTCTGTGACCGCTTTTTATATTGGTAGGACATATGGGACTAAAGCGTATCTATCTATCTACCTATATGCTTATAAATATGCTCCTGATAATTCTTTGATTTGTTGTTATTAATTAATTTTATAAATTTCAAATAAAAATGCCATCTGTTGACGTGATATATTATATTTTTGTTACCATACATTTATTTTTAATTTTTCTTTTTATAGAAACCTAACTGATTCTTTTATTTTGTTATTAATTAATTGTATTAATTTTAAATGAAAATATTGTCTGTTGATGTGATATATTATATTTTTATTATTACTCATTAATTTAATTTTTTTTTTATAAATCTATAATTGTCAATTACTATAAAGGTTCATTTCGAATACTGTATATACATAAAGGTATTTATGAGTTCAGTATACAGTAAGACGGGGGGAAAAGGGATTGTTGGTAACGAGGATTGGTAACCCTATTGCAAACAATATAGCCTATCAGGCCGGCCTCCTCGCCTTTCCCCCTGGAAACCATCGTGATTGATTTATTAGTGAATTTTTTGCGATAGGCCAATTGACCTGCTTCATCTTCACTTATCATCTCTCACTGGTGCCTCGCCGGCGTATACCGTTAACGCAGGTGAGGTTACCATTCCATTATCATTCATTAAAGAAAAAAGGAAATATACAGTAAGAGAAATATATTATATTTTCTTGAATTATTTCATATTTATCCCAATTTACAGTGATCTAGCTACGTCAAAATAATACTGTTATAATATTATATTAATTAAATAATAATACGAAATATAATTAAGTTTTTATTGTCAATTAAGTTGATAATGCATAAATCATATTAAGATAAAAGTGATTCATCTAATCTTGAGGGAGACTTTGTACAAAAGTCGATTGCTTGGGTACCTCTGTCCCATTCGTGTTTCTACCGTGAAGCAGTTGTGTTCGCATGGATGTGTTTCGGTTTGAAGGGTGGGATATGGCGTGAATTTACAAGATACAGAGGAATAACATCTGAGTCCTCAGGAATGGCAACGCATTGGGGGTATCATGGGCGAAACAGTATACTCTGTTATGTCCATGGTACTGCTCATGTCTATAGGCGACGGTTACCACTTTCCATCAGGTGGGCCGTCAGCTTGTTTGCCATTCTAAGTGGTATAAAAAAAAAATTTTAAACATAATTACATGATTATATTTTCAAAATACTGAAATATAAGCACAAAAGAAATACTTTGCTAAAATATAATACATGTGAATCTTAATATTAAATAATGCAATTATTATAAATGACAATATTATTTCATAAAGTAAAAATATTAACAGCTAATCCAAAATACCTTCCCGTCCCGTACACGATCCAAATGTCCCCATAAAGCTTACTGCACTTCCACGTTGGATTGCCAGAAATGTCTTTGCTGAATAAATCATATATCTATTTACACCTGAACTAAAATACTAACACAAATACTTCATGCCTGTAATTAGTATTTATAGATTGTATCTAATTGTAAAATAGCCTTGTGCATTGCTCGCATACGAGTATATGCTATTTCTACTGCGTTTACATAGGTACTACTTATTATACAAGACATAGATAAAGACTTTAGATACAAAATAACTGAGATCACCAAAGTCCCTTTTAGATCCCTGCGACCATCTGCCTTGTTTGGTTGAACTAACCATACTCTCACGTATAATGGCCCAAATATGAATCTAGGAGTAGTTATTAATATGGTAGATCTAAATTATATACTTCCTTAGAACATATAGTTTTAGATGAGCAAATCCATTTTTCTTTCTGCTTAACTACACTTTTATTTCTATATGCGGACGCGAGACTAATTTTTCTATTACATTTTAAATTCAATTTATTAATCCAAAGATCTCTAGTTTGTTTATTTCCCAAAACAATAAAAAGAAACAGCATGAACCCTTCAAACGTAGCTGTGAAAACGAAAAAGTATGCGGCGACAACATTGTAAGCGAAGAAACCAAAAATCCAAGGCAAACCAAATAAAAATACAAGCAGACAACTGACGAAAGCAAATCTCACTGCTTCATTCGTATTTCCATACCTCGGAACTCTTTTGCAAAGAAATACAGAGTAAATTATTGAAAAGAATATCGCCCAATTTGCAAGTAACATAAATGCAACAGGAAAATATAGGCCAAACCATAATCCGTATCCAGAAGGATAACAGAATTTTCTGTTCAAAGTTATATCTTCAAAATATACCATGTACGAATGCCAATCAACAGAAAGAAGAATGACAACTATTAGAAATGGAGTTCCCCATGCAAAAGCAGATGCTTTTAAAAATTTATGACTAAGATCTGTTGTAAAAACTAAAACTAGTTTTCTATAAGACAATATAGCAGCTACAAGCATCCAACAGAAAGTGGCTATTAATGTATAATGCAATGTTATTCCTACCAGTAAGCACAAAATATCACGGCCCTCAAAATCAATAAAAGCTATGGGTATAAAACACATCTTTAAGAGAAATATCGCTATACACAGTTGAAGCCATATCAAGTTGCTAAATTCTTTTCGCCATGATCGGAATGTAATAGCTGTCAGTACAATAAAGAATACACCCAGTATTGATAGACAGCATCCTACTAAAGATATTACTTCCAGTATTATCTCGCTGCGATGCGAATTTACATTATGTGAAACAAGAACTTCTGCGAAGTGCGTCAAGTGGTTGCATCGGCAAATATCTAAAGTATCTGGGTCGGTTGATTTGATGTAAATGCAACCCTCTGTTGACCAGTATCCAGTGTCATTTTCTGTGAATTGCCAATAGCTGCATTCGCGTCTCACGTTGCGGCCTGGATTTTTCACCAAAGGACGTAGGTAAATATCTATCACCTAAGGAATAATACAATAAGAGCTTTTTATAATATAACAAATGTTTGCATACAACGTACAGTGTTTGGAAAACTTCAACTGCTGCTTTTGCTTTAGACGCTCATATTTAGAGCATGTTATTATTTCCAATAATAATTATCGAGATATTCTCAAAAAACTTGTATAGCAAGTAATCATTCCAAAAATACATTATATTTTTGTTTCAAAAAACTTTGGTACTACAAGGTAAAAGTTTTACCATAGATAAAAAATCATTTCTTACAGAACAGAAAATACTATATGCTTAATGACCACAATTTTTGTATTAAAAAAAAAAATTATTGCACCAGAAATAAAAAAAAATTACAAAAAATATTTTATGAAAGTTAATACATAATAAAATTACTTCCATCAAAAAATATTTTGATCAAAGTCACCAGAGGGAGACTTTGTATAAAAGTCGATTGCTTGGGTACCTCTGTCCCATTCGTGTTTCAACCGTGAAGCAGTTGTGTTTACATGGCTGTGTTTCGGTTTGAAGGGTGGGATATGGCGTGAATTTACTGTGTACAGAGGAATAACACCTGAGTCCTCAGGAATGGCAACGCATGGGGGGTATCATGGGCGAAACAGTATACTCTGTTATGTCCATGGTACTGCTCATGTCTATAGGCGACGGTTACCACTTTCCATCAGGTGGGCCGTTAGCTTGTTTGCCATTCTAAGTTGTATAAAGTTATCCTGTCTCTGAGCAACTTCTGCAACAAGAACTTGTAACTTACCTCTTCATTTTCAAAACCGGTGTTGTTCTCAACATTAACACTGATGACATTGCTATTAACTTTGTTGTTCCTCTTAGTTGAGTAAAAGGCTCGTCCGTTCGGGAATACGAGAAAGCTGATACGTCGATGTGATTTGGTGATCGATTCCGGTAAGTATACTATTGTCTCGGTTGTATTAGTAAGTAGTTTTGTTGAGTTTATCTCTTCTGGAATTGTAATATTACTTTTATTTTACATGTCTATACTTTTATTTATTTAATTATTTACCGGAAAACCAGGTAAATGTAGTGTAAATAGATATAGTCTAGGATTACAAAAAGTGGCTTAGCTGTTAATAGGTTTTCACAAATAGTAACAAGATGGATGAAAGGTACTGCACATGAAGCAACAAAAACAGGAATGAACAAAAAAATAAAAGAAATAAAATAATGAATGAAATACAAAGTAAAAATTAACTTGACTAAAATGAAGCCTTCTTATCAATACAATATATATTCAAACAGTCTATGAATCAAAAAATTCTTTGCTCTGTTGGTCTCTCGCTAATATTATATTTTTCGAAAATAAGTTGATATTCAAGGTTTTAGCGAGAGTATTAAAGTTGTTGCTAGCTCGCCAAAGGAACGAATTTTGTCTATAGACAAAATTATAATTCAATGACACTAGAGGGGCAAATAGAGAAGAACTTGATGTACCCATCAAGTTTTACTTTTAATTTACGTTCGAGGCAAACGACCACACTGTAAGCTATCCTCGTTAGATATAAGATCAGATTATTTTTATACAATATATTAATGTATGCACTTACTAACTAAAAACTGAAAGGAGTCATCTGTGAATGAATTCATGCTCGAATTTCTGACCGCAATCATTATTCCCTTAATCGGATTATCAGGCCCAATATCGGCTACCAATAATGCAATATTGTTTCGGACTATCCTATCTGTCTCTCTGCCATTTAAGTTTAGCCTTAAGCTAACGTTATCTAACATATGAAGGAATTGACCAGGTATATGTAAATCTTCATCGATTTGTAACAAATTGTCTACCTAATAAGACAGAAATTTAAGTACTTAGAAAATTCGATATATTTAATCTCAATTATGTTTAATTTAGAATTTACTGAAAGAAAATTTACCCTGTCAAAAGTATCATCAATTTTATCCACCATTATTGTTGAAACATCATCTTGTAATAACGTATCTAAATCATTTAGTACTTGCTCGAGTTGATCTTCGGGCTGCAAAAGAAAAATTTAAATAAATCAAAATATTTTCAAGGTTTATTCAGAAGATTATGTAGGTGACATATAAAGTGAGGTCACAAACCAAACAATACAATACTCACTGTTAATGTTGATGTTTTACTTCCGAATATACTATTTGTCTTATTATTTAGTTGTCCAATATTTTTATGTTCAGGATTAAAAATAGTTCCTTCTGTCACTAATGATACACCTTCGTCAAAGTTTCCAACACATTTATAAGTATTACACCTCGATTTAGATGTAAAATAATCTGCAATTTTATTTAACTTATCGTAACTTATCTTTTTATTTACTAATAAATGTTTTTTTTTAATTATGTAAATATTTGTTGAAAATAAAAACCAATAAACTTACTCATAGACAGCGATATTTTTACATCATGTTTATTGCAATAATAAACTGGCTTCATGAACAATATTTCACCGCCTTCAATTTTAGACGACTCCACAGGTATCATATCTTCCCGGATTTGTACGTAAAAAAGAACTGTCCGTTTGTCCATATAGATCCTTTTTATTTTAATATTAGAAAGAATATAATTTTGATCCAAATCTAAGTTTTTATGAATTTTAAGATCCTTGTTTCCGTTGGTATTCGTCAAACTTTCAACACCATGTGCGTTCAAATATTTTGTTCTATAGAAAATGTATTTTTCCAACTTTTCTTTCCAGTTGTTTTTAATGTCCTCAATATTTTTAAAGGAGTATTTACTTTCAAGTCGAATCTTGATAGCATATTGATTCGATAAAAACTTTTTATCGCCCAAAGAGTACTTTCTTCGATTTGGTAACATGAAAATTGTTCGGGTCGATGTGAACGCACCAGTAATAACCATAATACTTCGGAGATAATTCATATATATTAAATTTTTTATCATCAGTTCTATTGAGAATATTTACTTTTGTTGGATAGTAGGTTTCAGAGTTTGTGTAACAGTAAACGTTATTTATATCCACTGAATTGTTAACAATTAATAATATTTTATCTCTAGAAATATAAGAAAAACAATTAAAACTTTATGGAATACATAATTGAGACACCTTGTAAGTAAATACACGAGTAATATATCGAAACAATAAAACTACAATTATTTTAATTGTTATCCTACATCAAAAGGAAACTGACAAGTAGATGGCTTTACAGCAGTAGTTAATAGTAGGAGTAACCAGACACCTAAATAAATCTATTCATCATCATCATCATCTGTCCACTGCTTAACACAAGCTTCTCCCCTGGGGGATTTAACAGCAGTTAGGCTTTAGAAATGTTTTAAGAGGGACGCTTCTGCCCATCCCTCGCCCTTTAATTGCCTCTTACGACATCCACAGGAAATGAAGTGGCGGCCTATTCTATGCAGAGACCACACAGCAACAGAAAAATTTATAAAAACTAATTAAATCAAAGATATCTAAAAAATGACAGTATACGCAAGTAATTAATTTAATTGTTTTCAATTTTTTTTAACAATTTTATTTACAGCTGACTGAATAATTAATGGTCACTTACATAATAAAGTACTTAATTTCTATAATATCAAGGTACTGAAGTTAATTTAAAAAGAAATATACTTACATTTTGGTAACGAGCTTTATAATTATATTTTTGAGTTGAACAGAACGTTCACAGATTATACTATTAAAAATGAAAGAACTATTGACAAGTTTCCAAGTTTCGTTTTGTATCGCCATAAAAACGGTATCATTGCTGTTGAATACCGATTGGCCCAAAACTGAATTAACTGAACTCTGAAATACAACAGATAATGTGTTATAAATTTAATAAGACATAAAATATATTAAATATAAATACACTTCTCTTACATAATCATCAGGAATAAATTTATGTGTGTTTCGATTGTTATTCCAAATCATGCCCAAGGCGTATATAGGCATTGTTAAATCTGATTTATTAAAAAAAGGAAAATTTGCATATTGCCATCCTTTGCTGAGTAATGATCCACCGTATTTAGCACATAAATCCTGCGCTTGACTCCAGGTCGCTCTAAGAGGTTCTCCATTCTGAACTTCTACATTGAAAACGCATAATTCTTCCGGACCATTGAATCTCCAAGATTGATGAAAACCATCACAGCTTGACTTATTATTTTCTTCCGCTATCTTAGAATATGGTTTTACTATGCAATATCTATAATGCTTTTCCTCACACTCCACCGCTGTGAAATGTCCAAGTTTATTTTCTATTAAACATGTTTTTCGATATATATCAAAATCTGCAAAATACGTCACATTATCAAGAATTACTTCTTCATATTTATTACGTGGAGTACTAATAAAAGGTCCTCCAGGATATAGCGGTTGGTATTCAGCCCACACTGTATCTACTTCATCGTTTATAGATATGTTTAAACTGCGATATAGTTTTGAAGTATAAAGATTTCCATCGCAGTCTTTAAATATATCTGCAAATGTTTCCAATCCTTTTCTTTTATAACATACATAATGGTTGCTGTCTTTATTGGAAGCTAATTTAAACCCAATCGGGCATACACTTGTTGTTTTAAATTTCTTCGCTTCAAATGTTTGGAGGCATGTTAAATTAAAATAAACATAAAGTGTACAGATAACAGATAGATGTTGGACACGCATCTGAAACAGAAAATGGTGACACGTCATTTACTCCATAATATACTCGTGCTTATCTTATCAAGTACACTTTCTGAGTTTATGATAAACAATAGTAATTGACCACTTAATCGTTCTGCTTATATTTTGACATCATCACCGCTAATTGTCCATAAAAGAAAAGTTATGTACGTTGTTGACTGTTATCTAGAAAAACGAGTAGATCTTTTAAACAAATAAACATTTTTTTTTCTAATTGCAATTTCATGTAAATTACAGTGACTGTAGCATTATGTTATCTGTGGGTAAACTAAAACCAAATATGTTGGACTAAAAGCATTTTTATTGTCAATACTAAAATTATCTTGTACATCGACGACTGTAATAACTTCAAAATTTAATTAAATTTTTAAATTTTGTATATTAAATTTTTTTTTTTATACTACTTAGAATAGCAAACAAGCCCACCTGATGTAAAGTGGTAACCGTCGCCTATAGAAATGAGCAGTACTATGGACATAACAGAGTATACTGTTTCACCCATGATACCCCCCATGCGTTGCCATTCTTGAGGAGTCAGGTTTTATTCCTCTGTACCCTGTAAATTCACGCCATATCCCACCCTTCAAACCGAAACACAGCCATGCAAACACAACTGCTTCACAGTATATTAGGAGGAAATCGGTTTGGTCTTACATAAACATTATTTTTCATTCATCATCATCTGAAACATCAAAACATTCACTGGACATGATTTTCGCTCCATAAAAGAATGTTGGACAGATTGGCTTGGTATTATGTTATATTTAAAAAAAAATTAAAGTTTAAGAAGAAAATATTGTGTTTTGTTCCCGTTAACAACCTATAGTTGTCCACTCCTGCACATAAGCCTCCTCCTTGGAGGGTTTTGCCAGTAGTTGCCACGCTTGACAGGCGGCTTGGCAACTTTTGGAGATGTTTTCAGAGGAATGCTGCTGCCCATACCTTGCCGTCCCTTAGCCGCCTCTTACTACACCCACGGGAAAGGAAGGGGTGGCCTATTTTATGCTGGAACTGCACGGCGATTAAGTCGTATATTGGGTAAAAAAAAAAGAAAAATAACGCAAATAAAACTCTTTTTACTAAAATATAACATGGACAAGGACATAGAAAAATGTATATTTAAAGCATTATATTTATGATAAAAAAGTATCTAGTTTCTAAAACTTTTAAATCGAATATGCAACAGTTATATCAAGGGAGTGATAAATTTGTTTTATTTTCATAAAGTAAATAAAACAATTGTTTATCTACAACAATTTACAAATTTTCATCGCATAATTACATTTTTGTTTTGCCAAAGGTTGACTGAGAGAGAATGCTAAATAGCATTAAGTCCGCCTTTTGTACCAGTAATTTTTTGTAATGTGGTCAATAAAGAATAAATAAAGCAAAAAATCTTGTATTGTAATAATTATAGTACAAAGGATAAGCAGTTTTTCAATGGCGACCTCGTAAAGTTAAATGTAGTATGTTCCAATTAAAAAAGAAGTATATATATATATATAAAGTCATATTGTGGACAAAACTAGTAAAACAATATTTTATATGATATTCAATACAATACATTTTTAACCGACTTCAAAAAAAGTAGGTTCACAAATCGACTGTATTTTTTGTTTTTTTTATTTCGTTTATTACCTTATAACTCAATCAGTTACAAAACCAGTTTGTCAAATTCTTTTTATATGTTTGAAGATATACTTACAGATTGGTTTCATAAAAAAAATATCAAAATCGAGTCAGTAATTTAGTTTTTAAATTAAAAATAACTGGTTTTGTCAATACTAAAATCGATTTTCTTTTTGTAAAACACGATCTTAATTTATTGTCCATTACTCTTACCTTATTAATTTTAACGCCTCACATTAATATCACAGTTTGCTCATAACAGTATAAAAAATAATAAATAATGTAATTACTACAATTATTATTACACACAATTATAATTATTAGTACACTATTATTTTATTTTTTGTTTTATATTTTAAAAAAATAATTAATTAATTTGATTGTATGAACTCACTTGTTAATTTACGTGTGTCATAAATGACTCAAATAAAGTGTTTATCTATCTATCTATCTATTATAATTAACATAAAACAAGTATAGTTTCTTTCCAATATTCCCGCCAATCGAAAATATGTGAAATTCGCTGCGGGCAATGAACGTCCTTGTATGACAGATTACAGTTTACTGACACTGACTTTGTTAGTAGCTAAATGTGGCAAATGTGATATACATATGTATCATAAAGGACGATATTATAGAAATCTAGAAATATAGCTATGATAAATTAACATAGAATATATTTATTTATACAAGAACGAATTACAAACGGGTTACTTTATCTTGTATTGTTGTATAATCAACCGACTTCAAATCATAACAAATATACTAATGCTATAATATTTTAAGCATAACGTTTAGTTTCTTAGTTTCTTTATTGCACTTGTAAATTCCATGTTATATAATGCATAAATATTGTTATCAAGGATGGACTCATCTCTGACAGAGATCTCTTCCAGTCAACCCAATACAGTTAAAAAGCATGTCGTTATCAGGTAGCTAAAGTGCTACAACTATTAATATTTAGAATACATAAACAAATATACATTTAAATGAAATATTAAAATATATAATAAAATATTACATAAATATATATACTATAAATAAACATAATACCTACCTACTTATATAACAAATGTTAAAATAAATGAATATACTACTTACATTAGAAATGTGTTTTAATGATTTTAAGATTTGACAGTTCAAATAGAAAAATATAAAGTTATAACTCAAAGAAAAGAAACTGTAATTTCAACCTTTTCTTGAAAGAGATAATAGATGGACTCTCTTGTATGTGGGAAGGGAGTATGTTCCATAACTGGACAGCTCGATACGAGAAAGAGTTGCCCATAAAATGTGTCCTATACAAAGGAAGTTCAAGAATCCTGAACTGAACTTGACAGAAGCGTTTAGGACGAACTGGTAGTGGTAATAATTTAAACCGGGGGGGGGGGGGGGGGAGTTCCGATTTTATTTTATACATTTCAACCATAAGTCTTCCCGTACGGTCCCGGCATGGAATAAGTCACCCTTTCCTTTTCCGTGGGTTTCATAAAAAGCAACTAAAGGAGCACGAGGTATGGGCAGCAACGTGGCTCTTAAAACATCTCTAAAAGCCTAACTACGGTTGCTAACCTGCTTGCCAAGCGTAGCAAGTACTGGCAAAACTCCCCTTATGGGGAAGACTTATGATCAGCAGTGGACAGTTAACGGCTGAAATAATAAATATAACAAAACTAATTAAAGTATAACAAATATAACAAACGATATATTTGTTATACTATAATTAGTTTAATTAGTAATAAATATAACAAAAGATTACCACCAATCTATAGTATTTTAATAAAAGATTTCAAAAATAAACTACAAAATATTTATATATATTTATTTATTTTTATTAATAAACACTAGAAACTATAATAAATATTACAGTAATTACAAATAAGCTTACAGTTACATTTATTTATTCTAATTTAATCACTAAATATTATCTTAGTAAATTATTATTATAAAGAAAATAATACAGATCTCTTTGCTTCTATGTTGGAAAAATCATGAAGTGTATTTTTTGTACCAACCATGATACTTTGAAAGAATTTTACATTTCTAGTTTTTTTTTACAACACAGGGGGCAAACGAGCATGCGGCTCACCTGATGGTAAGTGACTACCGCCGCCCATGGTTACCCACAACACCTACGGCATTGCAGGTGTGCTGCCGGCCTTTTAAAAAGGAATATGCTAGTGCTAATACAAACTAATCTATATAAATAAAAAAAAAATCAATTGCCAAATTTATACAAGCGCATCACTCCAGAACGACTGCACCTATTTGGTTAATTTTCATTTTATTGTTTGTAATTGTTAGAACAAGGCTAGTATAAAAAAAAAATGTTTTAAATATCATACAAAAATGTGAAAATTTTGAGTCAAAAAGGTCTGCACATAAAAAAAGTGAATGAAATAAAAGAGAGCAATTGCAAATGTAAGTAAGATTCGGTCCTATTTTCTTCACTTGTACACGAAAAGCCGAGGCTAAAAAACTATCTTATAAACAAAAGTTTTTCCATTATAATTTACACTTTAGTTCTCAGGAATGGCAATGCATGGGGGATATCATGGGTGAAACAGTATACTCTATTATATCCATAGTACTACACATGTCTATAGGCGACGGTTACCACTTTCCATCAGGTGGGCCGTCAGTTTGTTTACCATTCTAAGTTGCATAAAAAAACTATTCTCAGTTTAATTTCTACCCATAAAGTGTAATTGTTTTATAATTCTATATTTAAGTAGGGAGAATAGTTCGTCTACTTGCCGATTGGCGCTTATATCTGGGCATTGGTTTCAGTTTTAATTTGAAAAGCCAAAGATCTCTCGTCTCCTTATTCCCGCATATAATAAAAATGAATAGAATAAAACATTGAAAAGTAGCTGTAACAGTGAACATATAAGCCGCTACAATATTGAAAGCAAAAAGTCCAAATATCCATGGTAAACCGAAAAGAAACACAAGCACTATACCAATTCGTGCACACTTATGAGCTTCTTCATAATAAGTTATATTTTGATTGTGAATACTGCTAGATACAAAACCAATCGTATAGAAGAATAAAATTACATTAATAAACAATATTACGGCAATAGGTATATATACTGAGAACCATAAATCCAATCCTGACGGATAACAGAAACTGCCACTGGGAGTCATTTCTTCAAAACGGCCCTTGTATGGTTCAGTGGCCTTAAAAATATAAGTAACAATCACTATTATTGGTAGACCCCAACTGAAAATAGTAGCGAGTGTCATTTGACAAGGTATATATTTTGTGAAGACTATAACTAAGTCTCTGTAAGCCTTTATGGCTGTTACTAACATCCAACAAAACGAAGTCAATACAGAGAAATGCAAAATGATACCGGTAAGTAAACACGAAACACTGTATTCGTCGTATTTAACGAAAACAACTACAAGGAAGCAAATTGACATGATTAGTAGAGCAAGACTGAGCTGAAGCCAAATTTGATTGCGAAATTTTAATCTCCATGTTTTGAATAAAACAAATGTAATTAGTATTATAATAGCACCAAAAATAGAAAGACTACATCCAATTATAGAGATCATCTCTAATATTGCCTCATTTTGCTCCGAAAAGACAGGTTTGACAATTAAAATTTCAGCGAAATGTGTAAGATGATCGCATTGGCACGTATCCAAAATCGTTGGGTTTCTGGAACGAATGAACGTACAGCCTTCTTGCGACCAATATCCAGTGCTGTCATCTAAAAGCGCCCAATAACCGCACGAACGTTTTCTGTCCCGTTCTGGTATTCTCAAAGGCTTCATATGGATGTTTACTACCTGTGAAATAAAATTAGTTGATACTCATTACTTTAATTTACATAGATCATTGCCTATTGCATATAAGTCTATTTCAGTATGTTTAATCAGTCTTATTATAATCATAATCTAAATTAAATTACATTAATTTTGACAACGATAAAAAATTATAATTAAATTTTTCACTGTATTCAACTTATTGTGTATTTTGAATCAGAATCATTCCTAACGTACTTGGATCTTTGTGATCTATTTAGCTTATGCTAGACGTACTAAATAAGTGTCTATATCTAAAACTTATCGCTGTATATTTAGAATCAATTCCCTGTTCTGTGAATCAAATACGACAAGATTGATATTGTCTTGCTCTGAACAAAAATCTTTCAAATGACATAATTATGGTCCTCATATTAAAAATATATTCAAAAATAATTCAGTAATCATAAAAAATGCAATAAACATCAATGCACACTACCTCTCCATTATCAAATTGTGTCATGTTATAAACATTGATGCTAATCACTCGACTGTTGACAATAGATTCCTCCCTATTGTTGAAAGCGCGATCATTATGGAAGACCACAAAACTTATACGTCTCGGAGAATTTAGCACAGACTCTGGTAGGTGCACCACGAGCTCATTCATCGTTGAATTCAAGTTAATGTTCTTCATGTTACCTATAAAAGAATGTTTAATTAGAACCCACACTATAAAATGACTAAAGCGAACTTATTTTTATCATGCCTCTAACTAATTACTTCTATCTACCCAAAAATTATAATCAGCATATCGATAAGATCATTCGTTGTTTTTCTCTGCGTAATCTCTTTTTCTATATTTTTTTTTTATTTTCTACTATATTAATAGTTTAATAATAGTGCTTATTAGTGACCGTGTGGTCCCGGCATAGAATAGACCACCCCGTCCTTTCCCATGTCATAAGAGACGACTAAAGGAGGGCGAGAGATGGGCAGCAGCGTCTCTCTTTAAACATCTCCAAAGCCTAACTGCAGTTACCAATCCGCCTGCCAATTATGGCGACTAGCAAAACCTCCAAGGGGGTGACTTATGTTCAACAATGAACAGTTAAAGGCTGATATGATGAATAGTTAACCCCTAACTTTTGATGTTTATTATAATTTGTAATAGAATCAAATTTTTATATATTTTCTTTACTAAAACTTTAATGGCTATGATAATATAAATTTTTTATATCATTAATTTAAAAGGTATTATAAGCTGATAGCAACAGCCGATCTATCTTTTTATCTATTTTATATTTATCTATTATCTAAACATGAAATGTATCGTAATCGTAATCATATGCAATCAACAGTGTACAAAATTAGACCAAACAATACGTACTCAAAAACTTAAATGCATCATCAGTAAAAACATCTTCTTCTCTATAAGCTACACTCAGTCCTCTCACAGGATTCGAATCCTCAACGTCAGCCATCATCAGAGCAATATTGTCCTTCACGAGTGCAGCAGTTTCAGTGCCATTCAAGTCTATTCTAAATCCAAGTTCATCAAGCAAACGCAAGAACTCAGTAGGGAAGACAACATCTTCATCTATGCTTAAAAGATCATTGATCTGTGAATTATGTTAAACTTTTATTATTATATCATGAATACTTCCAATTGATTACATTACATTACAGATAATCTGTGTATCTTTATATGTGCTGAAACTAGCAACGTCTGTATTTTTTTTTATATCTCTTTCAATGCTACTATTTTTATCTGTATTAACTACTCTAGTATTTAAACTTCCATCTATCATAAAAACTATAAATACTGTAGATTTTATTATTTTTTTAAATTGGTGCGTGTGATCATGACATAGAATAGGCCACACTTTCCTTTCTTGTGCGTGTCGTAAGAGGCGATATAAGGAACTTAATAGTAAAGGGATCGGCAGCAGCGTCTTTCTTAAAACATCTCTAAAACCTTAATAGCAGTTGCCAACCCGCCTGCCAAACGTGGTAAATATTAGTAAAACTCAAAGCTTATATTCAGCAGTGGACAGTTAATGGCTGAAATGTGACCACACCATCTTAAGCGAACACAGAGACGGCATGGTCTCATAGTTTCATATTCATAATACGATCAACCGAAAAGAGAATGACTTACTCTCAACCCTTAATCACGATATGCTGGCTCACTAAGTGCTTTTTCATGCTACGTTTGTATGATAAGGTGATAATTATGTATGTAATATATATATATATATATATATATATATATATATATATATATATATATATATATATATATATATATATGTACAGATATGTATATATTTTGATTTTTTATATATATTATGATATTTGGATTTTTTGATACATAATAGAAACAACTACACTGTTTCCTCCTATTATTGTACGTACACTGCCCGTTGGTAATTAATGCTCCTTTCCACTCAGGGTTTGCTGGAAAAGAACTCTTACAAAGTTAGTTGAACAAAACACGCACCTGATCAAATATCTGATCAACGTCTGTGATGCTGGGATCAGAATCATTGTTTAGCAAATTTTCAAGATCGTTTATAATATCCTCGATCTGTAAAATGAAAAATGTATTTAAAATATTTATTCCGTTGTTAAGCAATTTTGTAATCTACTGTTTGAAATAAAGATTATTATTATTATTATTCAGAACAGTTTGAATGGGATTTTGACAGTTTGTTATGAATGGGGACTAACCATTGATAACAATCTTCTCCCCCCCCCCCCACGCAATATTATTAAGATGCATCACTTGTTTGACACAGTCATAAGCGATTTTTATAAATCTATTTGATGTTACTGATGATTGACTGTATTAATTTTGTGTAAACAAATGTTGAATTGAGATTGTGCCAGAAAACGAAGCAAAATTTAATGAGAAAATATTTTAAAATGTCGTTATACTTGGAATTATATTTTATTACATTGTTCGACCCAGGTGCTATGTATTTTTTAATTTAAACAATACCGTAGGCGGCGCTGTCGTCGCAGATGTTGATGACATCGGTGTCAATGTTGATGCGGTCGTCATTGCAGTTGACATTGTTGACGTGATGTCTGCAATGATAATAATGATTCGATATCTCCTTTTGGGAATGAATTCTTTTTACAAACAACTTTTTTAACTTTTAGACATCTTACCATTAAATTTATATATAAAATTTATTAAAAATATAAATGCGCCTCCAGCGGCTAGTTTCAGAAACTGAGAATTCCACACAAACTTATCAACAGGGGTAGTTGCCCCTGGAGTGGAAACCGGAGCAAAGGGAAGTTCCCCAAGGCCCCTACCAACACTCCCCTAAAGAGTATAAAGACCAATTGTCCTATTTCAAGCAAAAATTACTGAATATATTTAAATGAAACTTGATACACATAGGTTTTATCCTAACTTAGCACATAGGATAACTTATTTACTAATTAATAATAATAACCGGGTGAAGCCACGGGATACAGCTAGTATGTATTTAATAATAGTAAAAAAAGAGTACCTCATCTCGTCCATTTTTACATCTACCTTCTAACACTTAGTTAAGGTTTACTCCAGGTCAGTAAACCTTTTACATATTATAAGAAGAGAATAAAAACTTATATAAATAATAATAATAAAATAAACAAAAAATAAAAGTAAATCTTTGTAAAACTCACACGAGCCACTTTCGTATGAAAAACGAAATTTATTTACGAGTATATATTTGTATTGGTATATTACCTGAATCTCCTGATAGAATGAGTTGAGCAACATATGTTGATTCTTGGCAAACACAACGGTACAACATTCCCGGCTGTGGTTTTTGCATTGAAGGCAAGCAGCCCCTGTTCGACCAATTCGAATAGCCCCAATTGGCACACATGTGTAAACTACCTGGTTCACTGAACGGCTTAAAATATAGACTTATCATCTGAAACATATGTGAAACATATAAAACAATGTGCTTTTACATAGATAGATAGATAAACACTTTATTTGAGTATTAACAAATGAGTTTTGTATAAACTCATCAATTCAACATCAATCAAATTATTTACACTTTTTTTATTAATATAAAACACGAAAATATGTTTTCACCAAGTGTGTCGCAGTGAGCCAAATAGGCTACAGCTCAGTGTTTGTTTTGCTTAAAAGCAAAGCACTGATTTTCAGCTGCAGTCTGAAGTTAGCCTACATGGACGCGTGCAACAAACCCAGAGTGTAACCTGTGTAACCAATTTAACACAGCCAAAGATAAAATTGTATTATATAGATACGTACTTACATAAATAATGCATAAATAATATATTGCATTAATTAATTAAACATACAATATAAATAATTCACCACAATAATTATTATGTCATCCTGGAAACTATCATGGTTAATTCCTGATGAATTCATCATGATAGGCTAACTGGCCTGTTTTCATTCTCATCTATCACCCTTCACTGGTGCTCCGCCAACGTATCCCGTTAGCGCAGGCGAGGTTACCATACTATTTTCACCCATAAAAAAACTACGGTTGCCAATCCGCCTACCAAGCGTAGCAACTACTGGTAAAAATCACTAAAGGGGAGGCTTATATTTCGCAGTGGACAGTTAAAAGCTGATATCATTATGATGACGATCAAAAAAACCGTTTCGAAAATTATAAATTCAATTGTATTACCTCTCCATCTAATTCACTAGTATTATCTACTTTGACACTAATTACTCTGCTATTGACCAGAGACAAAATTGTTGGTAAATCTAATTCACCAAATCCGTAGTCTTTTCGAAAAACGACAAAGCTAACGCGACTATCTGGTGTCGTTAAAGGCGCTGGTAAATACACTACGACATCGCTTGCGTTGGCAGCCAGGTAACCAGGATCCTCAGCTGTGGATTGTACAAATCTTTATCACTCGTACTATTATTGTCTCGGGTCTTATTCTCTTTAAACCTTAGGACCAGAGGGAGACTTTGTACAAAAGTCTTTTGCTTGGACACGTCTGTCCTATTCGTATTTCTACCGTGAAGCATTTATGTTTGCATGGCTGTGTTTCCGTTTGAAGGGTGGGATATGGAAGTAAATTTACAGGGTACAGAGGAATAACACCTAAGTCCTCAGGAATGGTAACACATGGGGTGTATCACGGGCGAAACAATATACTCTATTATGTCCATGGTACTGCTCATGTCTATAGGTGACAGTTACCACTTTCCATCAGATGTTCCGTCAGCTTGTTTGCCATTCTAAGTTGCATAAAAAAAGTATCTTAGCCTAATGTTTTAAGTTGGTATATGGTGTGGACCTGATATGGGCACGTGTTGTGCAAGGATGAGGAGCATGTTTCAAGAAAGGTATTACCTATGAATGTGGATAGCTATATGGGCAAAGGAAGACCTATATATATATGGGGAGATCTATGTTTAGCAATGGACAATTATCAGCTGATATGATGACAGATACGGTCATCATGTTAACGGCGCATCTAATTGAAAACTACTAACCGTCACATATAGACCAAACAACACCATAGATATTAGATCATACTTATGTACTCATGCATTTCCGCTCTTTAAAAGATGTTATGCTACTTTGTTTTAATAAGGACGCTCCTGCCCATTCCTCGACTATTAGATTCTCTTAATCGCCTCTTACAACACTCCCAGAAAAGGATGGAGTGGTCTATTCTATGCAAAGACCACACAGCTAGTATATATATAATATAAGTAAATTCATTATAATAAAAAAACTAAATACATACCTGCTAGTATTTTAAATGCGTCTTTGTAAAATCTGTCATCATTTAAATTCAAAATTCTTATTCCAACCACAGGATTGTCAACTGACGGATTTGCCATTAGAAGAGCTACATTATCCCCGACAATAGTAGCGTTTAAACTACCATCCAGGTCTATCCTTGTTCCCAACATTTCCAGTGCTACCATCATGTCAATAGGAAACTCTAAATTCTCTTCTATATTTAAAATATCACTGATCTAAACAAAAAAATAAAATAAAAATTTAGTTAAAAATATTTTCATTATCAAAATGTTACAAGTAATATAATAAATCCGTAAGTTTGTAGCAATGGACGGTTGGAAGTCTGTTACTCTTTCAGACAAAAACTCCTAAACGGATTTAAATGTAATTTGTTCCATTTTTTTTTTATACCTCAAAGGTGGCAAACAAGCATACAACCCGTTTGATGGTCACTGTACTGTAGAACGGTTACTGTAACCCATAAAAAACCCCCTTTTAAAAACATAGTACACTGAAAAAATACTAAATATAAATGGTCATAATGCAATACAAGCTGTAACTGAAATAAAGCACATTATTTAATATTTATGGACAATTTAAATTCAAAACATCTTTATTCTAATATACATGTTTACAAGCACTTTTTAATCGGCATTTTGCTTTTAAAATAAATGTATTTCAATGTACAAATACATTGTACAAATAAATGTATTTCAATGTACATATAAATGTATTTCAATGTACAAATAAATGTATTTCAATGTACAATTACAATGTACAATTAAATGTATTTCAATGTTACTAATAAAATAGATGTACGTTACGTACATCGTAGATGTCATTAAGTTACATTAATAATTGTGATATTAGGCGATGAGAAGGGGAGAGGGAACTGACGAACAAAAGATTCACGTCACAGTAATGAGGAAACTACGCAGTTCTGGAGTATCCAGAACAGATAAAATTAAAAACGAATGAACGAACCGTGGCACCTTCAAGGTTATTAGTTTACTAGAAAAATGAAAGGAAAACCGCCTGCGCTGGTACAGACATGTGATGAGACGGGGTGATGACCATATGACTAAAGGGGTGATAATAATTGAAAAAGGAAAGAGGCGCCGGCGTCAACCACCATTGACCAGTGGGATTACTCTTGAAATAAATTCCAATAAATTGAAATTATAATTGAGACTTTTTGCACTCTCGAATTGCAATACTATCGACTTAATGGTTCCATATTATTCTTATATACGCATATTAGTGCAACTTGCCAATTATAACTTAATTCCTAACTGTTGTTTCATAAGTTCCAGAGGGAGACTTTTTGTACAAAAGTCGATGGCTTGGGTACCTCTGTCCTATTCGTGTTTCAACCGTGAAGCAGCTGTGTTTGCATGGCTGTGTTTCGATTTGAAGGGTGGGATATGGCGTGAATTTACTGGGTACATAGAAATAACACCTGAGTCCTCAGGAATGGCAACGCATGGGGGGTATCATGGGCGAAACAGTATACTCTGTTATGTCCATGCTACTTCTCATGTCTATAGGCGACGGTTATCACTATCCATCAGGTGGGCCGTCAGCTTGTTTGCCATTCTAAGTTGTATATAATAAAAAAAATACGTATGTTGTGAAATTTATGGTGTTTCCATTCAATGACTACACACTATAAGAGCAGAACTCAAACAAATTAAAATAATAGCCAGAAGAAAGAAGAAGAATAATTGTAACATTACCTTAATAATACTCTGTGTCACATCGTTTAGGTAGATTGGAGAGGTGCCCTGCAGCAACTCTATGAAGTATGATAAAATTTGCTCAATCTCATCTTGAAGCTGTAAAATAAATTGTTATTTATTATTGCCTATTTTTACTATTACTGTACTCGGCAAACGATGGAAACTCAGCCACAGTCCACATGCATCATCCAGTGAAATACTGAATGATGCAAACAAAACTGGGGGCCTGCAATGAAATGAATTCCGAAGTTTCGGACTCAATTTTGTGTTTTCGTTCATACCCAAAATTGGCCAAGTAAATGGAGCTTAACGTTTCGTTCGTCATAAATCCTACTAAAAAAGTCCAAAGGAATAATATTTTAATATTTTTAATGTTTTTAAACGGTAAGTATTATGTAAATTTAACATCAAATTTATGTATCGTTCGGCTCCGAAACTCTGTTGGGCATTTTGAGCAAAGTACGAATCCTTAACTCTTTACCTAACTTAGTGTTTTAATTAATTTTTATTACATTATTTACCTCAAGATTTGACATGGCAATAAGATCCCTCCTAGAAGTTATATCATCACACTCTCTTCCCCCACCATCTGCAATTTCGTCTCCTGCTAAACATGTTTTCTTTTTTATGTGTTCTTCTTCTGCGTTTATTGGAATCAATACGAGTATAATGAGGATAAATGTGAAATAACTGTTCCGTAAAAGCTGCATCTGAAATTGATTTTATTATTATTTCAGCCGTTCACTGTCCACTGCTGAAAATAAGCCGTCTCTAGAAAGGGAGTTTGGCCAGTAATTGCCACGCTCGACAGACGATTTAGCAACCGTAGTTAGGCTTTTTGAAATGTTTTAAGAGGGACGTTGTTGCCCATCCTTCACCCTCCCCTAGTCGACACTCACGGGAAAGGAAGGGGTGGGCCATTCTATGCTGAGGCACACACGGCGAAATTAATATAATAATAATAATATTTCTTTATTATAGATTACTAAGATGCATTTTAGTTAGTAACAATTTACTTAAACTATGTTAGTAGAAAAAAAATACAAAAATCATTTTATGGCCCCTATAATAATTTTGACCCACAATGAGAGGATCGGGCTATCGTATTTATTACACAATGCCCACAAAATGCTGTTACTGCTGCCACGCAGTCGGTATAAATGATAAAGACGTGATCCGTTTGTGTCTGATAGCATAGAAGTCATCTGTCGATGCCACTGCATTTAATATCAGATGTTAAATGAAGATTAATAAATATTTTTTTTTAAACCAATGAGTAACCTGATGGTAAGCGGTTACCAAAGCCTATGTAATGCCAGGGAAATCACGCGCGCGTTGCCAACCGTGAAGAAACCTTTTTACTCCTTTTTTGTAGAATTCTATGCTGTAGACCCTTCGAAAAACCTCGACAGGGAGCTTATTTAATAACCTGAACGTTCATGGGAGAAAACATCTCTGACATCGAGTTGTACGCGACCATCTAGGCTCTAAGGTATGAGGGTGAAGTTCCTGTCTATAGCGAGGTGTATGATGGTAGAAAATGGCCCGTGAGCATCATATTGAACAATTCATCCGAGCACAGTCCATTGTACAAGCGGTAGAACACGCAGAGTGAGGCAAAATATCTCCTAAGACTTATAGTTTTTTTTTATGGGTGAAAATGGTATGGTAACCCCGCCTGCGCTAACGGGATACGCTGGCGGAGCACCAGTGAAGGGTGATAGATGATAATGAAAACAAGTCAGTTAGCCCATCATGATGAATTCATCAGGAATTAACTGCTGTGTGTGCTGAGAATAAAAATGAGTTATCTGTCAATATCTTTAAAAATCTTGCTGCTGTCTTCTATCTCCATTAACTCATTTTTTAAATTTTTTCCGTATTATTTTATCTTAGATTATATAGGTAGACTGTCACCATCCAAATGCTTCGAGAAAAGCTGGTCAACTTTTTCATACAATTTTGTATGATAAATAGTTATGAGTGTTTCCTTTATAACTTCTATATTTATTTTGTCTTATAAATTTTTCCACTATATTATATTAACTAACGATCCGACCCGGCATCGCACTAGTAGACAGTGTTTTCGAAAATCAATACATACAATAAAAAAAGTTGTAGACAAATCAACTAATCGGTTATTTTATAACATTTTATATGTGATTCTTTAGATGGATATAACTTTTTCATTTATGAACCGATTGTAATAAAACTAACACTAAATGTTACGTGGAGCAATCCGTAACGCATCAGTGCGAAACTGCATTCAAATCGGTTAAGTCGTTAATGAGATTAGCGTTAGCACAAATGTTTTGGATTCTATCGCGTTCGTAAAGGCGCCCTATAATAGTTTTTCTTATACATATATCTTCCATGTATAAATAGCGACAAGTTACGATTTTATTATATGTATTGATTGATACATAAATAAGGTACATTACCTTATGGTAATAAAATCAATTGTGATTACTAAGAATTCTTGTTTATCTTATTAATCTTTATATTTGGCTATAATTGATAAATTATATCGATTTTTAAGAAATACTTTTCTATTGTAATCTATGTATATTGTACATAATATATATATATATATATATATATATATATATATATATATATATATATATATATATATATATATATACAATATAAGTCTTTTTCTCAATGTCCTCTACCCAAAGGTTGTCTGGAAGAGATTGCTTAGCGATAAGGCCGCCTTTTGCGCCTTTATCACTTCTCATTAATATTTACTGTATTTGTTATTTCTCTTCTTACTTGGTGCAATAAAGTGTAAAATAATTTATAATTATAGTTAGGAAAAACAAAGAGAGAGAGAATAGAAAAGACAAAATGCAGGGCCACCTTACACGACATGACGATTTTTTAAAGAGCATAGTGATAAGAAAAATAGAAGGCAAAAGAGAAAGGGGAAAACCGAGGAATAAGTACATGGGATAGATAAAGGAAACACTGGGTGTCATGTCGTATAGAGAGGTCAAAGATATGGCCTGGAATAGAGCTGGCTGGAAGAAACTAGTTGTACCGATAAGAATAAAAATAAATCGGTGGGCCAATTATTTATTCTACAAGGATTTAATTTTAACAAAATTTCGCGAACACATAATTTTTTACCCAAAATAGTAGAAAATATACTCAATCTGGCAACGATAAGATTAATAAACCGTTAGCCAGCCGTTACCACTAAGTCGTCGAATGATATATTTATCATATTATTAAAAAATATATTATATAATATAACAACAACAGTTATGTAGACGAGATAGTGTTGTCATGTGCCTATATTTTCAACCGACTTCAAAAAAGGAGGTTCTCAATTTATGTTGTATTCTTTTATGTTTGTAACCTCATATCTCCGTCACTTATGAATCGATTTGGAAAATATATATATATATATATTTTTATTTAATTATATATTTAATAGTTGTAGCAAAGCCGGTTACGTAGTTTACTTTTTAAATAAAAATAACTACCTACTTTTACCTAGATTGAAAAGGTTTTTTTAGAAACACACATTCTTAATTGGTCTCATAGATTTTTGTATATATATATATACAAAAGAGTTCATCAGTCCGCCTGATGAAAAATGATAAATGTAATCTACATCAAGCTAATTATTTATAATTATGAGTTCTTACATTTGATCAAACAAATAAAAAATTATTACATTGTTTTATTTCATATAAACTTTATCATCATCACCTAATCAGCCTTAAATTATCCACTGCTAAACATAAGCCTCCCCCTTGGGGGGTTTTATCAGTAATTGTATGCCATGCAAACATATTGGCAACCGCAATTAGGCTTTAGAGGTGTTTTTAAAGAGACGCTGCTGCCCATCACTCGACCTTCCTTTGTCGTCCTCTTACGACAACCACGGAAAAGGAACCTATTCTATGCTGGAACAACACAACGATATTTACATGTACTTACTGTAGAAAATTTAAAAAACTTCTCAACATATGCATTATATTACACCACTTCTTCGTTCCTTCGAATAAAACTTATCACTCCACTTCCATTACATAACATAAATATATAAATATACTTGGTGAATCGCATTTATACAGAATGTTATATATTAAAAACAAAAAACTGCTACACACTACAACACTCACATTTAAATATAAAACGTGTGTGTAGACCTCTCAACTTACGTGTAATGATATTTCATATCTTTTATTACGTTGTAATTATCGTTATCCTCGATTTGATGGATTAGTAATACACCTACGTCAACGAAATCGTATTTAAATTTTAGTTTTTTTTTTCTATACAACTTATAATGACAAGCTGACGGCCCACCTGATGGAAAATGGTAACCGTCGCCATAAACAGTACCATAGACATCAAATCTGTTTCGCCCATGATACCACCCATGCGTTGCCATTCCTGATGTTGTCTTAAAAAGATTGCTCTCAGCAATACTGTACTTATACAATTGTATCGTTATATTTATTAATTGTCTTGTTTATTTCCTATATTGTATAATCCAAATAAAGTATACTCATTCATCCATTCTTACAACTTTAACAGTTTCGATTCAATAATCAGTCAAACAAGTGTCAGACAATCAAGATATCATATCTTCATTACTATTGTTATAAACTATATTTTTTATATAAGTTTTATTTTAAATAAATTCATGAAAGAATCGTGGCAAGAGTAGGTCTTGACGACTGACTGTTTTGTTCAGATCCTGATTTCTGAACTTTAATTTAAAGAGCCTTGTGTCGTTATTCCCACATATAATAAATATAAACAAAATAAAACACTGAAGGGTCGCTGTAATAGTAAACATTAATTTCTACCCATAAAGTGTAATTGTTTTATAATTCTATATTTAAGTAGGGAGAATAGTTCGTCTACTTGCCGATTGGCAATTAGACTAGGCATTGGTTTCAGTTTTAATTTGAAAAGCCAAAGATCTCTCGTCTCCTTATTCCCGCATATAATAAAAATGAATAGAATAAAACATTGAAAAGTAGCTGTAATAGTGAACATATAAGCCGCTACAATGTTGAAAGCAAAAAGTCCAAATAGCCACGGTAAACCGAACAGAAACACAAGCACTCATTAAGATCGACTATATTTTCACTGTATACTCTACTGCATAGAAATCCAATTGTGTACATAAATAAAAATATATTAACAATCAACAATACAGTTATAGGTATATGTCATGTATCCAAAATTTCTGGATTATTAGAGCGAATGAAGGTACAGCCTTTTTCTGACCAGTATCCAGTGTCAGACATCCAGACATTATACACTCAGACACTAAACACTCAGACACCTGACACTATACACTCAAACACTAGACACTCAGACACTAGACACTCGGACACTAGACACTCAGACACTAGACACTCAGACACTCAAACACTCAGACACTCAGACACTCAGACACTCAGACACTCAGACACTCAGACACTCAAACACTCAGACACTAGACACTCAGACACTCAAACACTCAGACACTCAGACACTCAGACACTCAGACACTCAGACACTCAGACACTCAGACACTCAGACACTCAGACACTCAGACACTCAGACACTAAAACACTCAGACACTAGACACTCAGACACTCAAACACTCAGACACTAAGACACTCAGACACTCAAACACTCAGACACTCAAACACTCAGACACTCAGACACTCAGACACTCAGACACTCAAACACTCAGACACTAGACACTCAGACACTCAAACACTCAGACACTCAGACACTAGACACTCAGACACACAAACACTCAGACACTCAGACACTCAATCACTCAGACACTAGACACTCAAACACTCAGACACTCAGACACTCAGACACTCAGACACTCAGACACTCAGACACTCAGACACTCAGACACTCAGACACTCAGACACTCAGACACTCAGACACTCAGACACTCAGACTCTCAGACACTCAGACACTCAGACACTCAGACACTCAAACACTCAGACACTCAAACACTCAGACACTCAGACACTAGACACTCAGACACTCAAACACTCAGACACTAGACACTCAGACACTCAAACACTCAGACACTCAGACACCTGACACTAGACACTCAAACACTAAACACTCAGATACTAGACACTCGGACAATAGACACTCAGACACTAGACACTCAGATACACAGGGTCTAGACACACAGACACTCTGACACTAGACACTCAGACACTCAGACACTAGACACTCAGACACCTGACACTAGACACTCAAACACTAAACACTCAGATACTAGACACTCGGACACTAGACACTCAGATACACAGGGTCTAGACACACAGACACTCAGACACTAGACACTCAGACACTCAGACACCTGACACTAGACACTCAAACACTAAACACTCAGATACTAGACACTCGGACACTAGACACTCAGACACTAGACACTAGACACTCAGATACACAGGGTCTAGACACACAGACACTCAGACACTAGACACTCAGACACTCAGACACTCAGACACTCAGACACTAGACACTCAGACACCTGACACTAGACACTCAAACACTAAACACTCAGATACTAGACACTCGGACACTAGACACTCAGACACTAGACACTCAGATACACAGGGTCTAGACACACAGACACTAGACACTCAGACACTCAGACACTCAGACACTAGACACTCAGACACTCAAACACTCAGACACTAGACACTCAGTCACTAGACACTAGACACTCAGATACTCGGACACCTAGACACTCAGACACTAGACACTCAGACACTAAACACTAGACACTAGACAATCAATCAATCAGTCAGTCAGTCAATCAATCAGTCAGTCTATCTGTCTATCTATCTGTCTGTCTATCTGTCTGTCTGTCTGTCAATCAATCAGTCAGTCAATCGGTCAAACAATTAGTCATTCAGTCAGTCAATCTGTCTATCTATCTGTCTGTCTATCTGTCTGTCTATCTGTCTGTCTATCTGTCTGTCTATCTGTCTGTCTATCTGTCTGTCTTACTAGCTATCTATCTGTCTGTCTATCTATCTGTCTTTCAATCAATCAGTCAGTCAGTCAATCAGTCAATCAGTCAAGCAACCATTCAATCAGTAAATCAATCAGTCAGTCAATCTGTCTGTCTGTCTATCTACCTATCAATCAATCAATCAGTCAGTCAGACAATTAGTCAATCAATCAGTCAGTCAATCAATCAGTAAGTCAGTCAGTCAGTCAGTGAATCAGTCAGTCAATCTGTCTATCTATCTGTCTGTCTATCTGTCTGTCTGTCTATCTACCTATCAATCAATCAATCAGTCAGTCAGACAATTAGTCAATCAATCAGTCAGTCAATCAATCAGTAAGTCAGTCAGTCAGTCAGTGAATCAGTCAGTCAATCTGTCTATCTATCTGTCTATCTATCTGTCTGTCTATCTGTCTGTCTGTGTGTCAATCAATCAGTCAGTCAGTCAATCAGTCAAACAATCAGTCAATCAGTCAGTCAATCTGTCTGTCTATCTGTCTATCTAGCTGTCTATCTGTCTGTCTATCTGTCTGTCTATCTAGCTGTCTATCTAGCTGTCTATCTGTCTGTCTATCTATCTGTCTTTCAATCAATCAGTCAGTCAGTCAATCAGTCTTCCTCATTCATCAAGATTTGATATAGAACTCTTAGACGATAAAAGCAGCTTTGAACTAGTTTTAGAACATGAGTCTCAATGCGTAGTTCACTATCGATTACTATTCCAAGATTCCTAGCTTCTTTAACATAGTCAATTCTTTCCCCGGAAATATATACGGCAGGATTCTGGCTAATTTTACTTGTTTTTTAGATCCTAGAACCATGTATACAGATTTTTTGGGGTTTAACATCATCGCATTTTTAACCGACCAATTCGCAATACGTTCGAGATCCTACTTGCAGTGTTGTATCTGTTTTATAAGATCAGCACTATATAAAATAAACAGTATTGTGCCCTTTTTTTATACCTTAAATATGTCCTCTCGGCTTTCTACCTTAAATATGTCCTCTCGGAGAAACTTTCATTTCGCTTGTACAGTGTTTGACATCTTGAAGTATCGGCGACCGGAATACCTATATTCCAAATTACAATTCAGTACATTCCATGACAAATATAGTACGAGACCCACGCGTTACTTACTAGCAGGGTGTCCTCATAGAACTGTAGCGTTTGAGGGAATTTTCCGCTACTAAGCTACGAAATGCTGGAATAATATACCACCCCCAATAAGATTGTCTAAAACTAAACACATTTTTAAAAAAGAAGTCAGTCAATCAATCAATTAATCATTCAAATAGTCAGTCAGTCAATCAATCAATCAGTCAATCAATCAGGTCAGTCAATCTGTATGTCTGTCTATCTATATCTGTATATCTGTCTATCTACCTGCCTACCTGTCTGTCTATCTGTCTTTCAATCAATCAGTCAGTCAGTCAGTCAGTCAATCAGTCAATCAATCAGTCAATCAATCAGTCTATCAGTCAGTCAATCAGTCAGTCATTCTGTCTGTCTATCTGTCTATCTAGCTGTCTATCTGTCTGTCTATCTGTCTGTCTATCTAGCTGTCTATCTATCAATCAATCAATCAATCAGTCAGTCAGTTAATCAGTCAATCATCAGTCAGTCAATCAATCAGTCAGTCTGTCAATCAGTCAGTCAATCAGTCAGTCAATCTATCTGTCTATCCATCTGTCTATCTATCTGTCTATCTATCTGTCTGTCTATCTGTCTGTCTATCCGTCTATCTGTCTGTCTGTCTATCTATCTGTCTTTCAATCAATCAGTCAATCAGTCTGTCAGTCAGTCAGTCCATCAGTCGATCTTCTGCCTGATGGCTTTATGGTATTATAGTTGAAAAGCACCAGATAATGGACGGTGTTACACATGTTGTTAGTTTACGCTGCAAAAACAGCATTATAAAAAGGGTTGTATCAAAACTTTGTTTTCTACCGTTAACTGAATAAGTTATTTTGTTTATTTTATGGTAAGAGTGAGCGTCTAACATTAATTGATAACTATATATTTCAAAAAGTCAAAGTTAATGTATGTTTGTTCATTATTATATGTAGTGTAAATATTGTTAAAATTCTACCAAGGACATTATTTATTCTTTAGTTATCTTAATTTTGTGAAGTATTTATTCATGGTGGGCGGATTAAGGACAATATTGCTATATAGTCCTTGGTGGGCGGTATGGTCATGGCTGGAAAGAAGCCATATAGTATATTTAAAAAAAAAAGAATGATTTTAATTTTTGCATAACATTCTTGTATCTCTTCGTGTAATGTTTTATAACTATAATTCTGATATGACAGATAGACAGCTAGATAGACAGACAGATGGACAGACAGATAGACAGCTAGATAGACAGATAGACAGACAGAACTGACTGATTGAATGGTTGATTGACTACGTTACTGTGGATACTAAGCTACGAAATGCTGGAATAATATACTACCCCAATAAGATTGTCTAAAACTAAACATATTTTTAAAAAAGAAGTCAGTCAGTCAATCAATCAGTCAATCTATCTATCTGTCTGTTTCTCAGACACTCAGTCACTAGACACTAGATACTCTGTCACTAGACACTCATACACTAGATACTCAGACACTAGACACTCGACACTAGACACTCGACACTCGACACTCGACACTCGACACTCGACACTCGACACTCCACACTCGACACTCGACACTAGACACTAGACACTCAGACACTGAACACTCAGACACGAGATACTCAGACACTAGACACTCAGACACTAGACACTCAGACTCTAGACACTCAGAGACTAGACACTAGACACTCGACACTCGACACTGGACACTCGACACTCGACACTCGCCACTCGACACTCGACACTCGACACTCGCCACTCGACACTCGACACTCGACACTGACACTCGACACTCAGTCTCCAAGACACTCGACACTCGACACTCGACACTCGACACCCGACACCCGACACTCGACACTCGACACTCGACACTCGACACTCGACACTCGACACTCGACACTCGACACTCGACACTCGACACTCGACACTCGACACTCGACACTCGACACTCGACACTCGACACTCGACACTCGACACTAGACACTAAACACTAGACACTCAGACACTGAACACTCAGACACGAGACACTCAGACACTAGACACTCAGACACTAGACACTCAGACACTAGACACACAGACTCTAGACACTCAGAGACTAGACACTAGACACTCAGACACTAGACACTCGGACACTAGACACTCGGACACTAGACACTAGACACTAGACACTGGACACCGGACACCGGACACCGGACACCGGACACCGGACACCGGACACCGGACACCGGACACCGGACACCGGACACCGGACACCGGACACCGGACACCGGACACCGGACACCGGACACCGGACACCGGACACCGGACACCGGACACCGGACACCGGACACCGGACACCGGACACCGGACACCGGACACCGGACACCGGACACCGGACACCGGACACCGGACACCGGACACCGGACACCGGACACCGGACACCGGACACCGGACACCGGACACCGGACACCGGACACCGGACTCCGGACACCGGACACCGGACACCGGACACCGGACACCGGACACCGGACACCGGACACCGGACACCGGACACCGGACACCGGACACCGGACACCGGACACCGGACACCGGACACCGGACACCGGACACCGGACACCGGACACCGGACACCGGACACCGGACACCGGACACCGGACACTGGACACTGGACCCTGGACACTGGACACTGGACACGACACTGGACACTGGACACTGGACACTGGACACTGGACACTGGACACTGGACACTGGACACTTTATGTTAACACGGTTGATAACATGGGAATGGGACAGAAGTATCCAAGCAATCGACTTTACATACATAGAGACAAATAGACGGGAAGCGACTTTGTTTCATACTATGTAAACCTCTGTTATATAAGTATAAAAAATCAGCAAACCTGTATATAATAACTTGTGTTCCTTATAAAACCTCTTCGAAACTTTTAGGTTTAAAAAGAAAATATCCACTGGTATTGATATAACAAAGCACTTTAATTAAAAAAAATAACAATATTTGCAACACTTAATATACTGGGTGGAATTATTTACAATAATTACTACTAATAATACATACTTTAAATACTAACAATAATAGATAACAACAGATCTATATACTCCTCGTTTTGGAAAATCTATTGTTAGATACTATGCCATACTCATAACAACTCCTAAAATAAATAAAATGAACAAATAATTTAAAATATCTTAAATGTTACATACTATTAATACGGTGGCGTAAACCGCCTAGAATATTGATGAGTGGGTCCTGGTTTTAAATTCAATTTACAAAGCCAAAGCTCTCTAGTTTCTTTATCACCACATACAATGAATAAGAATAAAATAAAACATTTAAGAGTTACTGTAATAGTGAATATGTAAGCCGCGACAATATTGTAAGCGAAAAGTCCAAATATCCAGGCCAAACCGAAAATAATTACAAGAGCAAAGCCTACGCGAGCATATCTAATGGCCTTATGAGCGTGTTCTACGTTCTGAATATGTGTACTTCTGGATGCGAATCCAACTATGTAGAAGAATAAAATCACATTAACTAACAGTACGATAGCCATGGGCGTATACACTGACAACCATAGTCCTATACCGGATGGATAACAGAAACTTCCACTAGGTGTCATATCTTCGAAACGACCTACGTATGGCTCCTTGGCTACTAACAGATATATAGCGATCAATACTATAGGAGTTCCCCAGGAAAAACCAGATGCAATTGACATTTTATGAGAGATGCGGCTACTAAAGGGCACAACCGAATCTCTATATGCTTTTATAACAGCCACTAATATCCAACAAAATGTTGCCACTACAGAATAATGCAAAACGATTCCAGTGAGCAAACATGAAACACTATATTCGACGTACCTTACAGAAACAACAACTAAAAAGCAAACTGATAATATAAATAATGCAATATTCAACTGTAACCATATTTGATTAGCAAAATTAGTCCTCCAAGAATTGAACAACATGGCTGTGAGTACAATAAAAATAGCACCAATAATAGATAGACTACTACCAGTTATAGAAATAGCTTTTAATGCGTTCTCATTGCTCTTAGAAAAAGTAGGTCGTAAAGTGAATATTTCTGCAAAACGTCCAAGACTATTGCATTTACATGTATCTAAAAGAGCTAAGTTGCTTGACTGGATAAAGGTACAGCCTTCTTGAGACCAATATCCGGTGTTCTCGTCTAGGAATATCCAATAACCGCAAGATCGATTCATACTTCGTTCTGGGGTCCTTGAAGGCTTCAAATGGATTGTTACCACCTGTAAAACGAAATTTACATAATGAGTTCAATATATCGGTTCAATTTTGATGACAATTTTACTTGTTTTGTTGGATAGTGTATACATCAAAAGATATTTTACCTCATTCTGATCGAACTGTGTCAAATTCTCCACATTAACACTAAGTACTCTGCTGTTGACGAAGACATGAGGATTCTTGTGATCAAATGCTTGGCCATCTCGAAACACGACAAAACTGATTCGCCTCGTAGAGTTTGCTACAGAGTCTGGTAAATAAACTATAGCTTCGCTTAGATCAGCATCGAGATGATTAGAATTGTCATCGTCTGAAAAAGAATTTATATTAATCGCGTTTAATCACTCTTTTCTTTCCCGTAGGTGTTATAAGAAACGTCTAAGTGAGAGGGAGAGATGGGCAGCAACGTCCCTCTCAAAACATTATTAAAGCCTAACTGCGGTTGCCAACCCAGCTGCCAAGCGAGCAACTACTGGCAAAACCTGCCTAAGGGAGAGGCTTATATTCAGCAGTGAACAGTTAAAGACTGATATGATGATGATGATGATTAGCTCTAGAAAATACCCAAAATACTTACCAGATAAAAATTCAAATGAATCCTTAACGAATGAGTTGCGTGTTCCACTAGACCCATCCTTTAGCCTCAGTCCTTTAACGGGATTATCAGATGAGGCGTCTGCCATAAGTAATGCTAAATTTTCTCCGATAACAGTACCATTTGGTTCACCATTTAATTGGATTTTAGATCCCAAAGTGTCAAGTAAGTCTAGCAGCTCGCCAGGGAAGGTTACGTCGTCATTTATGTCTAAGAGATCATTCACCTTAAAAAAAGAATCAATTATACTTAATAATAATGATGTTTTATACTGATCTAATAATTACTGGTTGGTTGGGCTCGTAAAAAAGTTCTATAATTCCAAATTAACTTTTTTTATGCATCTTTATCATATGTCAGTATGTTTGCCACATATTGAAAGCCCACATTATTGAAAGTGGTAACCTAAGGTACTATGTTTTGTTAAGAGAACGATTGGCTGAAAACTAGCGCTGTGCAGCTGTAGACATTGCACTGAAACACTCGCAGCATCAGCTAAAACAGTTCCTTTTGCCTAATATGAAACGCTTCTTAATTAAAATTTAATATATAATATTATTTTATTCACTGTTATAATTATGTGTTTTTCTGACAATAAATATTTTCTGTTCTATTCTATTCTATGCTTAATCTATGGTGGTAATAATTTCCTGGACATGAATATGACATGTGACTATAATATACTGTGACAGTTATAGTACCCCATATGCATTGCCATTTCTGAAAGTTAAGATTTATGCTTCGACATTCCATTAGAAGCTAAGAAGGCTCTAAGCATGGTATATAAAATTATTAAATAGAAATATATAATATTTATAACGTATTTAAGATTTATTAATTGATCTTTTTTAACACATTCACAATAGTGATTTGATATAGGTAGGTACAAGAATCAATGACAAAATTGCAGTTCATTTTATACATTAAATTAAAATAATCTTTATTGTTAATAACTTATTTGTTAATAAATTAAATACTAATTTAGTTTACTAGTTGTATTAGTAAAATAAATTAGTGCAATAAAGAATATAAATATATATATGTATATATATTACCTGCTCAAATACATCACTAATATCATCGATGGTAAGGTCTGTTCCGTTTTGTAGAATTTCATGGATGTCCTCTAAAATCTGATCGATTTTGTCCTCTGGCTGTAACAAAAATTGCGAAATAATTACATAACTGACGCTTTGAATATTTTCGAAAATCCTCTATGCGAAGAATATATGCCATGCATGTATATTATTTATTATTATACAGCACGTTAACTTACATATTGATTAAACGAAATTTCCATTGCATTATTTTGATTATTATTTAAATAGTGTAATCTAATGAATTAGAATAAGAACGAACATAATTTTAAAAATACTACTTGATAAATTCAAATATTTTTTGCAATATACTTACACTTGGGGTAGTAGATATTGGCGCTGTGGTTTCAGTATTGGTTTCCTCAGAGCTAGCTTCGGTGGTAGTGGCTTCAGTGGTGACGGTGGTCGGTTCGTCAGTTTCCTCAGAGCGGTTCGTCAGTTTCCTCAGAGCTAGCTTCGGTGGTAGTGGCTTCAGTGGTGGCAGTGGTGACGGTGGTCGATTCGTCTGTTTCCTCAGAGCTAGCTTCGGTGGTAGTGGCTTCAGTGGTGACAGTGGTCGGTTCGTCTGTTTCCTCAGTGCCAGCTTCGGTGGTAGTGGCTTCAGTGGTGGCGGTGGTCGATTCGTCTGTTTCCTCAGAGCTAGCTTCGGTGGTAGTGGCTTCAGTGGTGACGGTGGTCGGTTCGTCAGTTTCCTCAGAGCTAGCTTCGGTGGTAGTGGCTTCAGTGGTGACGGTGGTCGGTTCGTCAGTTTCCTCAGAGCTAGCTTCGGTGGTAGTGGCTTCAGTGGTGGCGGTGGTCGATTCGTCAGTTTCCTCAGAGCTAGCTTCGGTGGTAGTGGCTTCAGTGGCGACAGTGGTCGGTTCGTCAGTTTCCTCAGAGCTAGCTTCGGTGGTAGTGGCTTCAGTGGTGGCGGTGGTCGATTCGTCTGTTTCCTCAGAGCTAGCTTCGGTGGTAGTGGCTTCAGTGGTGACGGTGGTCGGTTCGTCTGTTTCCTCAGTGCCAGCTTCGGTGGTAGTGGCTTCAGTGGTGGCGGTGGTCGATTCGTCTGTTTTCTCAGAGCTAGCTTCGGTGGTAGTGGCTTCAGTGGTGACGGTGGTCGGTTCGTCAGTTTCCTCAGAGCTAGCTTCGGTGGTAGTGCCTTCAGTGGTGACGGTGGTCGTTTCGTCTGTTTCCACAGAGCTAACTTCGGTGGTAGTGGCTTCATTGGTAGTGGTTTCAGTGGTGACGGTGGTCAGTTCGTCTGTTTCCTCAGAGCTAGCTTCGGTGGTAGTGGCTTCAGTGGTGACGGTGGTCGGTTCGTCTGTTTCCTCAGAGCTAGCTTCGGTGGTAGTGGCTTCAGTGGTAACGGTGGTCGGTTCGTCTGTTTCCTCAGAGCTAGCTTCGGTGGTAGTGGCTTCAGTGGTGACGGTGGTCGTTTCGTCTGTTTCCTCAGAGCTAACTTCGGTGGTAGTGGCTTCAGTGGTAGTGGCTTCAGTGGTGACGGTGGTCGTTTCGTCTGTTTCCTCAGAGCTAACTTCGGTGGTAGTGGCTTCAGTGGTAGTGGTTTCAGTGGTGACGGTGGTCGTTTCGTCTGTTTCCTCAGAGCTAGCTTCGGTGGTACTTCGGTGGTAGTGGGTTTCAGTGGTGACGGTGGTCGGTTCGTCTTTTCCAGAGCTTCGGTGGTAGCTTCAGTGGTACGTGGTCGTTTCGTCGGTGGTCAGTGGTGACGGTGGTCGTCTGTTTCCTCAGAGCTAGCTTCGGTGGTAGTGGCTTCAGTGGTGACGGTGGTCGGTTCGTCTGTTTCCTCAGAGCTAGCTTCGGTGGTAGTGGCTTCAGTGGTGACGGTGGTCGGTTCGTCAGTTTCCTCAGAGCTAGCTTCGGTGGTAGTGGCGGTGGTCAGTGGTGACTTCAGTGGTGGTCGTGTGACGGTCGTCGTTTCCTCAGAGCTAGCTTCGGTGGTAGTGGCTTCAGTGGTGACGGTGGTCGGTTCGTCTGTTTCCTCAGCGCTAGCTTCGGTGGTAGTGGCTTCAGTGGTGACGGTGGTCGGTTCGTCAGTTTCCTCAGAGCTAGCTTCGGTGGTAGTGCCTTCAGTGGTGACGGTGGTCGTTTCGTCTGTTTCCTCAGAGCTAACTTCGGTGGTAGTGGCTTCAGTGGTAGTGGTTTCAGTGGTGACGGTGGTCGTTTCGTCTGTTTCCTCAGAGCTAGCTTCGGTGGTAGTGGCTTCAGTGGTGACGGTGGTCGGTTCGTCAGTTTCCTCAGAGCTAGCTTCGGTGGTAGTGGCTTCAGTGGTGACGGTGGTCGGTTCGTCAGTTTCCTCAGAGCTAGCTTCGGTGGTAGTGGCTTCAGTGGTGACGGTGGTCGGTTCGTCTGTTTCCTCAGAGCTAGCTTCGGTGGTAGTGGCTTCAGTGGTGACGGTGGTCGTTTCGTCTGTTTCCTCAGAGCTAGCGTCTCGGTGGTGGTAGTGGCTTCAGTGGTGATGGTGGTCGGTTCGTCAGTTTCCTCAGAGCTAGCTTCGGTGGTAGTGGCTTCAGTGGTGACGGTGGTCGTTTCGTCTTCAGTTTCCTCAGAGCTAGCTTCGGTGGTAGTGGCTTCAGTGGTGACGGTGGTCGGTTCGTCTGTTTCCTCAGAGCTAGCTTCGGTGGTAGTGGCTTCAGTGGTGACGGTGGTCGGTTCGTCTGTTTCCTCAGAGCTAGCTTCGGTGGTAGTGGCTTCAGTGGTGACGGTGGTCGGTTCGTCTGTTTCCTCAGAGCTAGCTTCGGTGGTAGTGGCTTCAGTGGTGACGGTGGTCGTTTCGTCTGTTTCCTCAGAGCTAGCTTCAGTGGCTTCAGTGGTAGTGGCTTCAGTGGTGACGGTGGTCGGTTCGTCAGTTTCCTCAGAGCTAGCTTCGGTGGTAGTGGCTTCAGTGGTGACGGTGGTCGGTTCGTCTGTTTCCTCAGAGCTAGCTTCGGTGGTAGTGGCTTCAGTGGTGACGGTGGTCGGTTCGTCTGTTTCCTCAGAGCTAGCTTCGGTGGTAGTGGCTTCAGTGGTGACGGTGGTCGTTTCGTCTGTTTCCTCAGAGCTAGCTTCGGTGGTAGTGGTGACTTCGTTTCGTCTGTTTCCTCAGAGCTAGCTTCGGTGGTAGTGGTGACGGTGGTGACGGTGGTCGGTTCGTCTGTTTCCTCAGAGCTAGCTTCGGTGGTAGTGGCTTCAGTGGTGACGGTGGTCGGTTCGTCTGTTTCCTCAGCGCTAGCTTCGGTGGTAGTGGCTTCAGTGGTGACGGTGGTCGGTTCGTCTGTTTCCTCAGCGCTAGCTTCGGTGGTAGTGGCTTCAGTGGTGACGGTGGTCGGTTCGTCAGTTTCCTCAGAGCTAGCTTCGGTGGTAGTGGCTTCATTGGTAGTGGTTTCAGTGGTGACGGTGGTCGTTTCGTCTGTTTCCTCAGAGCTAACTTCGGGTAGTGGCTTCAGTGGTGACGGTGGTCGGTTCGTCAGTTTCCTCAGGTAGTGGTGGTAGTGGCTTCAGTGGTGACGGTGGTCGGTTCGTCTGTTTCGGTGGTAGTGGCTCAGAGCTAGTCTTCGGTGGTAGTGGCTTCAGTGGTGACGGTGGTCGTTTCGTCAGTTTCCTCAGAGCTAGCTACGGTGGTAGTGGCTTCGTGGTGACGGTGGTCGTTCGTCTGTTTCCTCAGAGCTAGCTTCGGTGGTAGTGGCTTCAGTGGTCAAGGTGGTCGGTTCGTCTGTTTCCTCAGAGCTAGCATCGGTGATAGTGGCTTCAGTGGTGGTAGTGGCTTCTACGGTGGTGACGGTGACGGTGGTCGTTTCGTCTGTTTCCTCAGAGCTAGCTTCGGTGGTAGTGGCTTCAGTGGTGACGGTGGTCGTTTCGTCAGTTTCCTCAGAGCTAGCTACGGTGGTAGTGGCTTCAGTGGTGATGGTGGTCGGTTCGTCTGTTTCCTCAGAGCTAGCTTCGGTGGTAGTGGCTTCAGTGGTGACGGTGGTCGTTTCGTCGTCAGTTTCCTCAGAGCTAGCTTCGGTGGTAGTGCCTTCAGTGGTGACGGTGGTCGTTTCGTCTGTTTCCTCAGAGCTAGCTTCGGTGGTAGTGGCTTCAGTGGTGACGGTGGTCGGTTCGTCTGTTTCCTCAGAGCTAGCTTCGGTGGTAGTGCCTTCAGTGGTGACGGTGGTCGTTTCGTCTGTTTTCTCAGAGCTAACTTCGGTGGTAGTGGCTTCAGTGGTAGTGGTTTCAGTGGTGACGGTGGTCGTTTCGTCTGTTTCCTCAGAGCTAGCTTCGGTTGTAGTGGCTTCAGTGGTGATGGTGGTCGTTTCGTCTGTTTCCTCAGAGCTAGCTTCGGTGGTAGTGGCTTCAGTGGTGACGGTGGTCGATTCGCCAGTTTCCTCAGAGCTAGCTTCGGTGGTAGTGGCTTCAGTGGTAACGGTGGTCGGTTCGTCTGTTTCCTCAGCGCTAGCTTCGGTGGTAGTGGCTTCAGTGGTGATGGTGGTCGGTTCGTCTGTTTCCTCAGAGCTAGCTTCGGTGGTAGTGGCTTCAGTGGTGACGGTGGTCGTTTCGTCAGTTTCCTCAGAGCTAGCTACGGTGGTAGTGGCTTCAGTGGTGACGGTGGTCGTTTCGTCTGTTTCCTCAGAGCTAGCTTCGGTGGTAGTGGCTTCAGTGGTGACGGTGGTCGGTTCGTCTGTTTCCTCAGAGCTAGCTTCGGTGGTAGTGGCTTCAGTGGTGGCGGTGGTCGATTCGTCTGTTTCCTCAGAGCTAGCTTCGGTGGTAGTGCCTTCAGTGGTGACGGTGGTCGGTTCGTCTGTTTCCTCAGAGCTAGCTTCGGTGGTAGTGGCTTCAGTGGTGACGGTGGTCGTTTCGTCAGTTTCCTCAGAGCTAGCTACGGTGGTAGTGGCTTCAGTGGTGACGGTGGTCGAATCGTCTGTTTCCTCAGAGCTAGCTTCGGTGGTAGTGGCTTCAGTGGTAACGGTGGTCGGTTCGTCTGTTTCAGTTTCCTCAGAGAGCTAGCTACGGTGGTAGTGGCTTCAGTGGTGACGGTGGTCGGTTCGTCTGATTCCTCAGAGCTAGCTTCGGTGGTAGTGGCTTCAGTGGTGACGGTGGTCGTTTCGTCAGTTTCCTCAGAGCTAGCTACGGTGGTAGTGGCTTCAGTGGTGATGGTGGTCGGTTCGTCTGTTTCCTCAGAGCTAGCTTCGGTGGTAGTGGCTTCAGTGGTGACGGTGGTCGATTCGCCAGTTTCCTCAGAGCTAGCTTCGGTGGTAGTGGCTTCAGTGGTGACGGTGGTCGTTTCGTCAGTTTCCTCAGAGCTAGCTACGGTGGTAGTGGCTTCAGTGGTGACGGTGGTCGTTTCGTCTGTTTCCTCAGAGCTAGCTTCGGTGGTAGTGGCTTCAGTGGTGACGGTGGTCGGTTCGTCAGTTTCCTCAGAGCTAGCTTCGGTGGTAGTGCCTTCAGTGGTGACGGTGGTCGTTTCGTCTGTTTTCTCAGAGCTAACTTCGGTGGTAGTGGCTTCAGTGGTAGTGGTTTCAGTGGTGACGGTGGTCGTTTCGTCTGTTTCCTCAGAGCTAGCTTCGGTTGTAGTGGCTTCAGTGGTGATGGTGGTCGTTTCGTCTGTTTCCTCAGAGCTAGCTTCGGTGGTAGTGGCTTCAGTGGTGACGGTGGTCGGTTCGTCTGTTTCCTCAGAGCTAGCTTCGGTGGTAGTGGCTTCAGTGGTGACGGTGGTCGGTTCGCCAGTTTCCTTAGAGCTAGCTTCGGTGGTAGTGGCTTCAGTGGTAGTGGTGACGGTGGTCGTTTCGTCTGTTTCCTCAGAGCTAGCTTCGGTGGTAGTGGCTTCAGTGGTGACGGTGGTCGGTTCGTCTGTTTCCTCAGAGCTAGCTTCGGTGGTAGTGGCTTCAGTGGTGACGGTGGTCGTTTCGTCTGTTTCCTCAGAGCTAACTTCGGTGGTAGTGGCTTCAGTGGTAGTGGTTTCAGTGGTGACGGTGGTCGTTTCGTCTGTTTCCTCAGAGCTAGCTTCGGTGGTAGTGGCTTCAGTGGTGACGGTGGTCGTTTCGTCTGTTTCCTCAGAGCTAGCTTCGGTTGTAGTGGCTTCAGTGGTGACGGTGGTCGGTTCGTCTGTTTCCTCAGAGCTAGCTTCGGTTGTAGTGGCTTCAGTGGTGACGGTGGTCGGTTCGTCAGTTTCCTCAGAGCTAGCTTCGGTTGTAGTGGCTTCAGTGGTGACGGTGGTCGGTTCGTCTGTTGGTTCGTCTGTTTCAGTAGGGATTTCAGTAGTGTATAATTCATCAGTTTCGATTCTTTCAACAGATTCTCTGCTGCCTGCAAATTAAAATTTTTAATTCAGTATTATATTATTGATTATACATATTTATATTTAATATGATTGAGATATAAAGCTTAAAACTAATTAACTAAAACATATTTACTCATATTCGTTTATCAATCAATCTAATAATTTTTCAAAGAATATTGCCTCTTTTTTATCTACCTACTATTTTTTTTTTTCCTTTTTAAAATATTATGGTTTTCGTAAATTTCTGTACGTTCTACTTAAACTGATGCCCATTGGCGGGTGCAGTTTAGTCCATTTTTTATATTTACGTAATAGTAAGCAAAATAAAAAAATTACAATTTTGTAATCAATAAGGAATTCGTTAGGCTAATTTTCGTTTTCCTTCATTCCTTTTAGCAGGTTTTAAGTGCATATAATTTATATTCAACGCACATCATAAAGATAGAATTTATCAATTCAGTTGATTTTTTTTCTGTTAATTGTTACCTCATAACTCCGTCAGTTATAAACCTATTAGGGTTTTTTTTTTAGATAGGATATAGTCACATACTGTTTTTATAGACATTTTATTAATATTTGTTTAAATAGTTTAGTTTTTAAATGAAAATAACTGATTTTGTTTTATCTGTAGTTAGTTTTTGGGATACAATTTTTTATTGTTATTACTAAGGTTTTCCTAATGTGATCGTTATATCACCTATAAATTGTTTACTGCTAAACATAGGCTTCCTTCTATTGGGAAGGTGGGATTTGCCATTAGTTGCCACGCTTGGCTACGGATTGGCGGCGGTAGTTAGAGTTTGATGATGTTTTAAGGGGTTTAATGCTACTGCCCATCCCTCGTCCATTAAGTTTCCTTAGTCGCCTCTTACGATGTCCACGGGAAAAGAAGGTGTGACCACTCTATACCGGGACCACATAAGTACACTTACTAACAAGAATGGATCTCAGTTATCTAAAAATAAATAAATAAAAAAAATAAAAAAAAATTATAATGTCGTACCGAATAATGTTCAATATTATCGTATATTCTTTCTACCTAATTTAATAATAAACGTACATTTTTGATAAATTTTAAAATACTTAAATATCTCTTAATTTTGCATACTAATTAATACCGATAACGTGGTTGTTATATTGATTTTTGATAAATATAATTTACAAAATAGATATAATTGGTCAACTCCACTTGTTGACAAATTTATATATTTACGAATAGGTATATATTAATTTATTTATACTTCATTACACACAAAGATTGCATTATTTTAAATTATTTTGATCAATGATTTACAACAAACGAGCTTAACTCTGTAAGAGTTCTCTTGCATGCCTTAAATGAAAAGAAGCAATACTTACTACTGTTCATGTCTATAGGCGACGGTTACCACTTTCCATCAAGTGGGCCGTCAGCTTGTTTGCCATTCTAAGTTGTATAAAAAAATCTAGGAGTATTTTCTTTTTGTATAATAATCACTTAACCAATAGTTAAGTTGTTGATGGTATTAATTAATTTATTGAACATAATGTAAAACTCCGCTGTATGGTCCCGATATAGAACAGGCCACCCGTTCCTTTCCCGTTGGTGTCGTAAGCGACTAAGAGAAGGCGAAGGATGCGCAGCAGCGTCCCTCTTAAAACATCTCCGAAGCCTAACTGCAGGTGCCAATCCGCCTACCAAGCGTGGCAACTACTAGCAACCCCAGATCAATAAGTCCTAAATTCAACAGTGGACAGTTAATGGCTCAAAAAACGTAGTGTGGAGTTAGATAGATAGATACCTGTATCCGTGTCTGTCTCACTGTCCAACAAATCATGTGAAGCAACGTCGCTCCTAACAGCATCATCCAAGTCATCGTTCTTCACAATAATGTAATAATATTCTTCGGAGCCTAGTTCGTTGTGCTTGAAAACAAACAATAAATGTTAGTAAATTTATATATGTCACCGTAAGATTGTAAATACCGTTAGATTACAATCTATCTCGCGAGATTGTAAACTGTCGAAAGATTGTGAACCGTCGCATACTGCTTACAATTTGACGTATTATTTTTCGGTAGATTATATTCTATCGAAGTGAAACCGTCAAAATGTGAAATGATATAAGGCGGAAAGCATCTCGTGCGCTGATTGGCTGAGCGTCATGTACCCTGCTTTTGATGTGCAACAATAAGTGATTATTTTTATTGGTGCAATTTACCTTTATTATTATTAATTTTCTAATAGATTTTGTTACGTTTTTGATTTTTACAATATTTTAATTTGTATCTGAGGTTAAAATATTTTATTTTGTTACAAGTTTTTCTTACAATATGATGTCACAATTATTGATTACCTCACTAATGACTAAACAAATACTTGTGTCAATTCTTGAAGTACATTTATTTCATTTAACACCTCTGTTTCATTCCTAATTTTATGGACAAATAGCGACCTACTGTAAGACCGACCAATCAGGAACAGCCTTCGGATAGTTGACAATTTAACGTGCGACAGATTGTGATTTAACAGTTTCACTTCGATAGATTATAATCTACCGAAAAATAATACGTCAAATTGTAAGCAATATAAGACGGTTCACAATCTTTCGACAGTTTACAATCTCGCGAGATAGATTGTAATCTAACGGTATTTACAATCTTACGGTGACATATACATATAATAAAATTTAAACTAGAGTATGCAGAATTGGGACGGATGCCATTGTATCTCATTAAATTTAAAAATTGCTTTTTGAATGTAAGTGCTTTATCTTCATCATCATCATCACCATATCAGCCTTTAACCGTCCACTGCTGAACATAAGCCTCCCCCTTGAGGAGTTTTGCTAACAGTTGTCACGCTTGACAGGCAGATTGGTAACCGCAGTTAGACTTTGGTAATGATTTAATAGGAACGCTGTTGCCCATCCCTCGCTCTCCCTTAGTCGTCTCTTGCGACACCCACGGAAAAAGAAGAAGTAGTCTATTCTATGCGAAGACCACACGTCAAGTGCTTTATACTCTACCGCTATCGCACCAGAGGGAAACTTTTGCTTGGCTACCTCTTACCCATTCGTGTTTCTATCGTAAAGCAGTTGTATTTGCATGGCTGTGCTTCGGTTTGAAGGATGGGATATGGCAATGAATTTACGTGGTACAGAGGAATAACACCTGATTCCACAGGAATAGCAACGAATGGGGGTATCATAGGCGAACCAGCATACTCTGTTATGTCCATGGTACTGCTCATGTCTATAGGCGACGGTTATCACTTTCCATCAGGTGGGCCGTCAGTTTGTTTGCTATTCTAAGTTGTATAAAAACCATTCATTGTATAGTGTCGGTAAGTATGCATATCTACTTAGTGATATATCAAAAAAGACATTACTACATCGAGCTTTTTTAAATAAATAACGGGGCCCTTCTTCTTTCTTCTTCTTCTTCTTCGTGGTATTTACCACGGATCTCAGACGGCATAGTTATTTGACTGATTGCAAACCTAGTTAATTAATATAAATATTTGTAAAATATAATAAAATTATGGTAAAAGTATTTTTATACAACTTAGAATGGTAAACAAGTTGAGAGTCCACCTGATGGAAAGTGGTAACCGTCGCCTATAGATATGAGCAGTACCATGGACATAACAGAGTATACTGTTTCGCCCATGATACCCCCATTCCTAAAGACTCAGGTGTTATTCCTCTGTACCCTGTAAATTCACGCCATATCCCACCCTTCAAACCGAAACACAGCCATGCAAACATAACTGCTTTACGGTTGAAACACGAATGGGACAGAGGTGCCCAAGCAAACGACTTTTATACAAAGTCTCCCTCTAGTAAAATTAAATAAAATGTAACACTTACCTTAACATCTGGAGAAGGAACGTGATCACTTAACGTGTTATCTATAACACAGTCGTCAACTATACCAAATCCAATTGTACATGACTTATTTTGCGTTCGATGCTCCTCTGCGTTTGTTTTATTTCTTAATGTGAATATAAATATCAATATGTAGTAAAATATTCGTAATGTTTGCATCTGAAATTGATCAAAGGCACTTTATAAATTATCTTTATTCGAATAGACTTCTTTACAGCACTTTTAAATCATCTTTGGGGAGGAGGGAACGGGGAAGAATTTTTAGTAATAGGGTATAACATCACCATTACAATATACCCTATCAGGTCGACCTCCACGCGGTTCCTTCAGAAAACCATTGCAGTTAATTCTTGTGGTATTCGTCGCGATGAGCTAATTGACGTGTTTTTATTCCCATCTATCATCTCCCATTAGATATAACAATTAAGACGTAAGAAGCAATATTGTATGGATAAGCGTAAACATTAGCGTATTTAGAATTATTTTCCAATGGGGGGCGAGGGGAGGGGAGCCTGGTTTCTTAAGCAGTGCATGTACTCTCAGAGATGTCTTTATGAAGCTTCCCTCGAGTCCTGAGGTTTACCAGAGAAAGACTTTGACCAAAAGTCAATTGCTTTAGTACCTCTGTCCCATTCGTGTTTCAACCGTAATGCAGTTGTGTTTGCATGGCTGTGTTTCGGTTTGAAGGGTGGGATATGGCGTGAATTTACTGGGTACGGAGGAATAACACCTGAGTCCTCAGGAATGGCAACGCATGGGGGGTATCATGGGTAAAACAATATACTATGTTATGTCCATGGGTACGGATAATGCCGAATATTAGTAGCAATGCTAGCAATATACTACTTTCCATCGAGGTGGGACCATCATGACTAATTTATTGTTGAATTCGTCACATTCTAAGTTGTATTTCATCCTCAAATCATCCTCACTGGTGCAATACTGTTAGTGCAACAAAAGGTTACCATCCCATTATCATCTAGAAGGCACTGAACCCTACCCCCCCCCCTCAGGGCTCCGACAGATAAAATGACGACAGACAGTAAAAATTTTAAAGTATTTAAAAATATTTACATTTGCTTTGTAATTATCTAAACTAAGAATTTCAGCCGATTGTTTAATCATTTTTTTAATCGATCGATAAAAAAAGAACTGTTTTATCCATCGATCAGCACACGGCCAATTCAATTAATTAGTAAAAAGATAAAATCTGTAGATAAATCGATTACATATCTAATCGATTAAAGGTATACGTGCAAAACACAATTCCGTAGTGATATAATATCATTTTTATTATTCAAAAATCGGATGGTATATAGAAGCATACTAATTCATCATACAATATATATAACTAGCCTCCCGTGCCTTCGCACGGGTGGACATTTTTACATTTTAAAAAGTGGTTATTGTAACATAACGATAAATGCCCTCAACAATATGTTTAAAAATATAAACACAAAGCTGCGCTGAAGGCAATCGAACCCCCCCCCCTCTGAAATGACCCGAAGACATAAAATGACGTCAGACACTGAAAAAAGTTTCAATTTTTTTTAAAAAAAGTTTGAATTTGAACAAAATATATAAAAAATGAATATTGAATTCGTTTGTACAAAACATAATAAATAAGAACCGCTAAAAAAACTTCACAAAAAAAAAATAGTCCGAACAAAGCCTAAAAATATTTCTCATTTAAAATTTGTAATTTTTATATATATACTATACAATAATACAGTTCCGTAATAATTTATTTTTAATCTATTTTTTTTTCTCATGATCGAGAAAATATTATTTATTATTTACTAGAACCCGCCCCGGTTTCGCATCTTTACCGAAAAATAGCCTATGTTACTCAGCAGATATAGTTTTCGGTAAAATTGGCTGAATTTTTGAATTAAATGGTAACAAACACAAAATTTATCATCTTTCCTCGTTATACATAAATTAATTTACATAATACACTAAAAATTTTTAGATTAAACTCGGGGGGGGTCAGAAAGTTATATTTATTTATTTTTTTTTTATTTTATTTATTCATAAACAAAAATTTGTATTTGAATGTTATACAATAATTTCATACACTATATAAAATATAAATTAAATCAAGCATAAAACAAATATTATAGTCAAGTCATCTCTTAACATAAACAATATAGGTATATATTATATTTACTATAATTAGAATTCGTCAAATGAGTACAGACACCTTTCTAGCAGTAATGACTTCAATTTTGTCCTGAAGATATTTAAATCATTCAGTGACTTTAATTCCCTAACATAACGATTAAATAACACCACCGCTTGGTTTCGTGGACAATGTTGTACTATGTTAAATGTGGGTATAATAACCTGTAAATCCATCCTTCTTGTAATTAATCGTTGTTTCATTCTATCCTGATTCATATAAATGTCTATTTTTAATTAAATCTATTAGCAGAACATGAATATATAGGCTTGGAACAGTTAGATTTTTAAAAATGTCCTGCACACGATTCCCAGGGAGGAATATGAACCATGGCTCTATGGCTCTCTTTTTAAAATGCATTTGTTTATACTTGTAGCTATTTCCCCAAAATTTTATGCTATATCGTAATCGCGATTCTAAAAAAATAGATTGTCAACATTTTTTGTAAGCTCTTCTCTCAGTTACAAAACATATGCATAATATGAACTGCAACTTCAGCTTTCCAATTTAAGAGCGAATCTAAATATATACCTAAGAATTTCATTGTTTCAACTATTTTGAGAGCTACTCCATTTACATGTATACTAAGGCTTTGGTTATTTCTAACTGTTGTTTTAAACACCATGACATTAGTCTTAGAATTTAGTATCAGGTTATTTACTGAAAACCACGTGTTAAAAGCCGTCATTACTGCATTAGTCTTATTGCTCAAATCCGTTACATTATTACCAGAAATTACTGCATTTGTATCGTCATAAAAATAACTATCCCAATATCAAAGAACAAATTGTACATATAATTTATTATATATATTATGAAAAATATTGGGCCTAATACTGAACCCTAGGTACACCTCTTGTTACAGTTGCTAGTATATGACTTTTTTTATGCCATCGTCATCTATGTCTACAATTTCTATGTTTTCTGAAATAGGACTTCAGTAAGGAAAGAGATTTATCTGTAACACCATAGTAATGAAATTTATTTATCAGTACGTCATGGTCAATAGTATCGAAGGCAGAGCTCAAGTCCAGGAATATTCCAGCTACTTTTAATTTTTCATTAAGTCGTCTTGTTATGTCGTCGATCAAATATCTATTGCATCAGACGTTCCAACTCCTTTTTGATATCCAAACTGACGTCCATTCAACAACTTATTTGTATTAAGGTGAGTCATTAATTGTACTTTAATTAACTTTTCAAAAATTTTTGATAATATTGGGGGAAGAGCAATTGGTCTATAATTATTTATCAGATTTTGACAACTTCTTATACATAATTTTTGACATTAATATCAAAAATACCATTAATACATTTAAATAAATACGATAAGATCTCTGCCAATATGTCAATATTATCCTTAATTATTTTTGAGGGCATATCATCGTAGCCACTTGAATTTTTATTTTCCATTTTCCATTTATATGCAGTGAACACTCTATATAAGCAATTCATTTGAACCAATTTCAATAAAAAAAAGTCTTATTGGGAAAAGTTGCTTACAGGGAAAAAAATGAGTATAAAAATATTTACTGTCTGGAAATTTTTTTTACTTTTTTTTTACTTATTTCTTTTACTAACTTAACTGAGTAAATAAAATATAAAGAACGTTGCTTATTTAGAGCGTTCACTGATCTAAAACCTTTCTTGAGACCCACTCTATCCATTAATAAAAACAGCATGAAAATATAGTAGTATAGTAGTTTTTGAGTTGATCGCTAACAGACAGACAGACAGACGCAGCGGAGGACTTTGTTTTATAATATGCAGTGATAGATATGTAGTGATAGGTATGTAAAGCGCCGCCGAGCAATGACGGCGCCGTACTTATCTACGCATGACCCCATTTCTTTTACTGATAGAAATAAAAATTATCCCATATGTATCCCATAGAAGACAATATAACAATTAATTAAATATAGATAATATGAGTATTATATGTAGGTATATTATTTTTAAATTAATGTTTTTGTATTTGCACGTCGCTTTACAGCGACAATTATATTTTCTGTTATTCCTATCTGCGGTCGACTAGTAGATAACGCCAACGTGTTAAGTCCACCATTGACACTGTCTAGACGTATACAAGTTTATTAAATAAATAATTATATTAATAGAAGCGTCTTAAAATATACTAACTAAACTTTTGAACTTAGTATATTTTGACAGATAGGTAATGAATTTATATTCATATTTAATTTCTATTTTACATTTGAAAATTCCTATATGCAAAATTAAAATTTAAAACGTAATATGACGTGCGACGTCACCAACTTTATCGTTTTCTACACTTGAATCCCTTTCATTCGATGCCTATATTAAAGGGGTTCAAAAAAATACAAGATCCGCCATCTTGTGACAGCGGCTATTTCGAAAATATTACAGAACATAAAGTATGGAAAATTTCAGCTCAGTCAGATGTCAAGAAGTTGTTCCAAGGTTGGACTTAAACACAAACTGGCATACCTACATTGTACGTTAAATTATCTTCCCCTCTCCCCCCTATATCGGGAGAAAAGGGCTGGTAGTAATTGAGTCGAATGTCTCTATTGCTTACACACTATCAGATCGGAAGGGAAGGTATTATTAGTAATGCAGACTACCAGTTCCATTGCCAGCAATATACTCTGTCAGGTCGACGTCCACGTGGTCCCCTCTGGAAAGCATAGTGCTGAATTCCAAGTGTATTCATCAAGATGGGCTAACTAACTTGGCTTTTCATTCTCACCTATCATCCCTCACTGGTATACGCCGGCAGAGGCCGGCCTTTCTTTCTGATTGTGTTTTCTGTTAGCCGTGGATAGCCTTTACAGCTTCACCGAACGCGTATGCGGAGGCGAGGACAGACGGCACTCCGAGTACTCGAGAGTTCGACCCCCGTCTAGGGACGGCGAAGGGCCGGTACGTCGTGACGAACCTAATCGCGCGCGGACCGTGGGTCGCGTGGGATCTTCGTCCCCGCCGACGGGGACGGTGTATGCGGTATGCGGGTGTATCTGCGAGGCTCTTAACGAAGATTCTGCGGTAGGAAGGGAAGGAACAGGGGCCGGCGTATTCCCGGTAGCGCGGGCGGAGTTACCATTACATTAACATCCATAATATCATCGTAATACACTATCAGGTCGACCTCCATATTGTCACCTCTAAAAATCATCATAGTTAAATCTTTGCAAATTCGTCGAAATAGGCCAAATGACCTAACTTCATCCTAACCTATCATAATCCTTCATTGACGCCCCGCCAATAGGTACAATATACCGGAAACTAAACCGGTAGCACAGATCGGTTACCATTTTATTTTCATCCAACAACAATCTGTGTTTTTTTTATACCACTGAGGTGGCAAACAAGTATACGGCCCATCTGATGGTTAGTGGTTACCGTAGCCTATGAACAGCTGCAATACCAGAGGTATTGCGCGCGCGTTGCCGACCCTGAAGACACCTCTTTACCCCACTTTTGAAGAAAGGGGGTTCCATAAAAACCGACTTCAATTGTGACAAACGTAGTTATTTTGATTTAAAAATTACTACACCAATTTCGATAAAATCTCTATTAGGACCAATCTATAAGTATATTCTTGCAGATAATAAAATAATTTTTCAAATTTACAAAAAACAATAATTTTAAGAAATTGTTTTCTCTCTAAGTTTGTTTGTTTATTCCACCATGACGCAAATACAACTACACTAAATTGAATGCGATTTTCACAATCGTATTCTTAGAGATATAACTTAAAATCTAACATATATTTCATATAGTAGTATATTTATTTCCTTGATTTTTCTGCTTCTGAAAACCAAGCGTAAGAAGTAGCGAGTGTAAATTAGAAAATAAAAATATACATAAAATTTGTTCTAAAAAATAAACATAACAGATCTATTTAAATCCGAAATAACTTTTTAGAATAAATAATACTTACGTTGGAAAGATTGAAATGGATTATCAAAATACACTGTAAAATATGGAGAGAGATTTAATAACACATCTCTTTTGTAAATATAATTTCACAACAGAGTAATGATCACATAAATATATACTGTAGCTTATATGATATGAAAATAAACTATTTTTTTTTTTTATTAAATATCGTGTCACAAGAAATATTTTGTTAAAATAAATATAAAAACAATAAATACGTGTGGTTAAAATGATGTCAAACTGTTGAAAAAAAAATGATAACTTTATCGTTTTTTTTTTCAATATAATATCTAGCTAATCACTTTGATACTAAAATATTGCATATCTTTTTATTATGTTCAGATTAGAATGGAATGTATATAATTTATTTTATTAATATAAATTAAAAACAACGCTGCAGTGTCCCAGTCCTTTCCGCAACTGCAGTGTCCCCCCCTTTCCTTTCCAAAAAAAGTCCCTTGTTCCTCTCTTTTACCAATTTCCTTTACGCATTGCCAACGTTCCCTTCCTGTTTTCCTCAATCCTTTCCCCCATACCGTAGGTGGCGGAAATCAACAAAGGCATTCCCAAAGAGGGTTGACGTCAGGCAGGCGGCCGGGCGTAAGACAAGTCATAAGCCAAATCTGTTCGTAATATGAACAAAACCATATTGCGCCGACCCCAAATAATAATTGGGATAACAGTAGAAAGATGATGATGATGATGAATATAAATTAAAAAATATATATTTTACCAGACATATTATATTTTTCTTTGTACAAAAGTCGATTGCTTGAGTACCTCTGTCCCATTCGTGTTTCTACCGTGAAGCAGTTGTGTTTGCATGGCTGTGTTTCGGTTTGAAGGGTGGAATATGGTAGTGAATATACAGAGTACAGAGGCATAACACCTGAGTCCTCAGGAATGGCAGCACATAGGGAGAATCATGGGCGAAACAGTATACTCTATTATGTCAGTTTTACTGCTCATGTCTATAGGCGACGGTTACCACTTTCCATCAGGTAGGCCGTCAGCTTGCATGTCATTCTATGTTGTATAAAAAAAATTCAAATTCTTAACTGTAATGAAAATAGAAATTTAATAAATTTAATAAACTATTTAAGAAAAATTAAAAAGAAAACAGGAAGGAATTACCTATTAGGTAGTGTAGGCAGTTGCCTAGGAATCCCACCATCGGCCAAGAGCATCGCCTACCCAGACATTCTCGGTTTCAGTTCTTAAAAAGAAAATTAGATTTAAAGAAAAACTTTTTTTATATTACATTGTCATCATGTTAGGCGTAAGTACCGACTATATGGAAATCCGCATTTATCACACCTGTGCATAAAAAAGGCTCCAGAACTGAAATTGAGAATTATAGACTTATTTCCAAACTATATCATATCTCTAAAACATTTGAGAAATTAGTATATGAACAGCTATACTCTGCTATTAAAGTGTCCTTGAATGATTTTCAGCATGGCTTCTTAAGGGGACGATCCACTGTATCAAATTTAGTACTGTTAAATGAATATCTTACAGATGCTATGGATAGTGGGCATCAGGTTGACGTCATATACACGGATTACAGCAAATGCTTTGATCGAATTGATCATAGTTTACTCATATATAAACTTCAGTTGATTGGTATTAGAGGTGACCTCCTTAGATGGCTGACTTCATATATAGGGAACCGATCGCAGATTGTCGTAGTCAATAATTATATGTCCAGTTGGATATACATATGTACCGAGTGGAGTACCGCAGGGTTCCCTGCTTGGGCCGCTATTATTTGCTATTTTTATAAATGATATCGTCAATTGTTTTCATAACTCCCAGCTTCTGTGTTTTGCTGATGATATGAAAGTATTTAGGACCGTATCCTCACTAAGCCTTCAATCTAATTGTATTGTTAATAATGTAGACATCAACCCCACTAAATATTTTATGGTCACATTTACACATAAATCCAAATTAGTTGATACTAAATACAATCTTAAAAGTCATGAACTTCAGAAAAAAACAGCTATAAAAGGTTTAGGTGTTACTCATGATGCGAAATTGATTTTTGACGGGCATATCGACGATATTGTTACTAAAGCTTCACAGGCACTCGGATTCCTAATGCGCAGTTCAACTTATTTTCAGCAAGCCAAAACCTTAAAAATTCTATATTGTTCATTAGTTAGAAGTAAAGTGGAATACACCTCACAAATTTGGAATCCGAGATATAAAACTTATATATCTCGCCTTGAAAATATCCAGAAAAAGTTTATTCGTTTCTTTGCTTATAGACTACATGATAGATATGATTCTTCTGACTATCTTGAATTGTGTAAAAAAACACCACTTTCTCTCACTCGAAAAGCGCAGAAATATCGCTGAGATTGTATATTTTTTTTTTTTTTTTTTTTATGGAACATATGGCAAACAAGCTGACGGCCCACCTGATGGAAAGTGGTAGTCGCCTATAGACGCTGGACATAACAGAGTATACTGATTGCCCATTCCTGAAATATTCTCTGTACAAAAATTAAAACTAAACACAACTGTTCACGGTTGAAATACGAATGGGACAGAGGTACCCAAGCAATCGACTTTTGTACAAAGTCTCCCTCTGGTAAATCTGATGAGGATAGCTACCGCTGAGATTGATTGCCCTGAAATACTACAAAAATTAAAACTAAATGTACCAATTAAGTCTAGAAGGCATAATTCTACTCTATTTGTCCCACTAGTGTCATCGAATTATAGACAAAATTCGTTACTTTGGCGAGCTAGCAACAACTTTAATACTGTTTCTAAAACTCTTAATATGGATCTATTTTCGAAAAATATAATATCAGTGAGAGATCAAGTGAGTAGGCAATAAAAATATTTTTTGAATAACTATTGGCATATTTTAATCAAATATTGAATAATAATTAATTACCTATGGATATAATAATTATTTATAATAATTAATATAATTTTTAATTTAATTTAATTTCTACTTTGTATTTTATTCATCATTATTTTATTTTTTGTTTTCGTTCCTCTTGTTTCTTCGTATATATATAATTATTTTTTGTTAACTCCTATTTTTGTTGCTTTGTGTACAGCGCTTTGTATTTATATTGTTGCTACTTGTGAAAACCTATTAGTGGCTTATTTTGTGATCCTAAACTGTATCTTTTTGTTCTAGTGTAGCCCTGGTTTTCCTATGAATAAATAAATAAATAAATAAAACACTAACTGAAACGCAAACTTTATTTTGTCCTAATAAATCACTTATGTATTACGTATTTTTTTCTATTTTTTTAACAAGTTAAAAATTATTCTCTGTCCTAAATTAGAGTAAACTTGCTAGTCAACCCGTTTCGAAGATAAACTTGCTTACAGGTCAGTTGGTCCATGGTAATGAATTCATTATTTCATAATATCTCATAAACCGCATGGAGATCCACCTAGATGGGTGTTTTGTGGGTGTATTGCTAACAATGGGATGCTAATTCCCATGACTAACAATACATTCCCCTCACACGGACGGAGTTTCCGTTCCATTCTCGTTATAAGAACCCTACATATAGATATAGAGATAAATTATTATTAATATTACTATCTAATGATGCTGATAAGGATTTATCATTTTACCGGACATACAAATTTCCGAGTAATGATAAGAAGGTAAGCCCGGATAGAAATTAAGTCATAAATGCTTGAACGTTATATTATTTTACCCAACTAACATTACCGTTGTCTTCGTCTTTGCAGTAATCTTTTCATTCACATGCCTGCTTATAGCACAGACTTTTTTTTTTTACAACGCAGGGGGCAAACGAGCATGCGGCTCACCTGATGGTAAGTGACTACCGCCGCCCATGATCACCCACAACACCAGCGGCATTGCAAGTGTGCTGCTGGCCTTTTAAAAAGGAATATACTCTTTTCTTGAAGGTTATGATGTCGTATCGGTTCGGAAATACTGCTGCTGGAAGTGACTTCAGGGTATTAAACATTTATTGTTTATATAACAACACGTCTGTTTTTTTTTTTAATGTTTTTTTTTATTATTATTTGACAAAAAACACAAAGTTACAAACACAAGATACAATGGCCCCCACACTAGGCGAACCTGTATCGTGGGCACCCGACAAAGGTTAACAAATCACAAATGTGTTGTAATAAAAAGTACATAGTGGGCGGGTATTAATATAAAAAGGAATATAAAATTGAAATAGTGAAATAAGTAATAAAATCAACAATATAAATACACAAGCAATTATAAAACACTAATAATATATGCCCTTAAGAGAAACGAAGTTGAGTAAATGAATGTGGGAATGTTCGTGAGTATGTGTGAATGTGTGTTGTGTAATCCATGTGAAAGATGTGTACTGTATGTTATTACTCTCCAGACCATAGTTCCTCGGTTGCCCCGTAACATAGCGATAAAAGATTATTATTTAATTTATGTTTTATAATATATGAACCATGACCTATCAGTGGACACACTTTGTTAATTTTATAGTACATTGACGGAAATGCAAATGCACCAAAACGGCGGGCAAAGGAAGATCTGATGGTAGGAATGTTCAGCTTGAGCCTCTTGAAATGTAACAAGGAAGAGTGATCAACACTTTTGTGATATAAAGTGATGTTAATGGAAGAGTTACCCTGCCTGCGCTATCAGTATATACTGGCAAGGCACCACTGAGGGATGATAGGTGAAGATGAAACAGGTCAGTTAGCCCATCATGACAAATTCACTAATAAATCGAATCACGATGGTTTCCAGAGGGAAACGCGAGTAGGTCGACCTGATAGAGTATATTGCTAGTAATAAACTAGCTAATTCCTATTATTAACAATCCTCCTCGATCGACCGGTTGGCCACACCTGCCCTGTAGCAACTCTCTAGTCAGTAAAGTACATTAGTGGATAGTATATATAAATTTTTTGTACAACTTAGTATGGCAAACAAGCTGACGGTCCACCTGATGGAAAGTGATAACCGTCGCCTATAAACATGAGCAGTACCATGGACATAACAGAGTATACTGTTTTGCCCATGATACTCCCCATGCGTTGCCATTCCTGAGGACTCAGGTGTTATTCCGTCTGTACCCAGTAATTTCACGCCATATCCCACCCTTCAAACCGAAACACGGCCATGCAAACACAGCTGCTTCACGGTATAGTAGTGTATGATAGTATATTACATGTTACTGTATTAGACAGATTGTATATAGATAGCAAATTTGATTTTATCAAATTACTTT